TGCTGGGCCGCGGTGGCAATAAGGGTTCGGAACGATTGTCCAGCGAGGGTCGCAGCGTATGTATCCTTGAAAGCGTTTTTAGCCTGTTGATCTCCTCGAACAACGATCCTTGCCTTGAGTTTCTGGAGTGCTCCCTTCTCGTCCGTTTTATAGACGTATACCCACCGGCAACCCAGAATCTGGTGCCCGGCGGCTTCTCTACGGTCCACGACGACGTATGTATCTATCTCATCGTGGCTCGCGAGGTGCTTCTCTTCCGCTTCTCGGAATCCCCTCTCGTAGGGGTGGCCGTATAGATCGGCATGTTTCTGAGGCACTGGGGGTAGTACGCCTGCTTGGCTTTTTCGCTGGGGCAGAGGACGGTCCTCTCCCGGAACGCTAGAGGCCACGGTCTCAACCGCGGGCCCCCCGTCACCTGACACGGGCCTACCGTTGTGGGAGCTTAGCCCAGAGGGAAGGTCTTCCTTTACCCTCGAATCAACGTGGTTTCTTCCCTGACGGAGGTCGAAGGCACGCTCACACCCAGGGTTTCTAAGACTCCTCCTGGGCCCAGGGGCAGGGTTCATACCATTACCACGTCCGGCTACGGTGAGACCTTCGAGTCTGTTGTTCCAACATACTACCGCTTCCAGGCTGGTATCGGCGTTCTTCGCCTTTTGCTTCATCTTCACTCGTTTTCTACCCGTTCTAGTGCTGCCGAGGAAAGCGGCTTGCTAGGAGGTACGCGGAGTGGTAATTGGAAACTCTTCGTGGATCGATTCGCGTGCATGAACCGCCTCAGGAGCGATCGAAGCACGTCTCTTCCTCCACCCCTTCACTCCGAGTGCCTCCTCAAGGCCTGCGAAGAACGAGGTGGGTGGCGTCCGCGGTGGTGTATTGAGTTCGAATCGTGACTCCACGTACTTAGGCGACGGCGGTGCGGTGTATTCTTGTGCCTCTTCGTCTTCAATGTACTGGACTTCATCGACTTCTTCGTCTGCGGTGTGTGCGTACTCTGGAGATGTTATCCCTGTGGGCGAGACCTCTAGTCGCGCGAGAAGAGCGTTGAGCTCGTTCACGTCGAGGTCTTTGAGGTCATCCCGCAGCTCGTTGATATCTCTATTAAAGAACTCGGTTTCCCTGAACACAACGTCTCGCGTTGTGATAACGCGGGCAGTAAGCGGATTCCACACGCGGTAGGAGTTGCTAGTACTGTACCCAATGAGGTAGCCTATCCATCCTCTCGGTTGAAGCTTTCTCGACTTATTCCTGCCCAGCTGTGCGTCTGTTGTGAGCGCATACACTTTGCAGCCGTACGCTCGAAGGTGGGCTTGATGAGGCTTCCCGAGATCTGGGCCGCGAAACTGATTATGGAACCGTTCGAAGGGCGTTTTCCAGCCGCGCGCCGCTGACGGCGTCCTGTTGTATAAATACGTCGCGGCGGCAACGATTTCGGGCCACAGCATCTCAGGGAACTTGCCTGCCTCGCGAAGGGTCCTAGCCTTCTCCTTGATAACTGCTGCGATTCGCTCGGCGCCTCCGTTCTGGGCCTGCGTATTGGGCGCAGAGGGTTCGAGGACCACCCCTTGAGATTGAAGGTGAGTGGCGACTTGCTGATGAATCGTTGCAACCTCGCGGTCACATTCGAAGACTTTGACCTGTATATTATATTGCGTCTTCATCATGGCCATGAAGAGATCGAATACCTCGAGGAGCGTCTCTGTTGTACGGTCCTTAAGGTAGTAGTCCCACGAGTATCCTGTTAGTCGGTCAGAGAGTATTACCGTAGACATATAGCCTCCGTATCCTTGAGGGCTAATCGAGTGAAAGTCGAACGCCACTCTTGATCCTGGTTTTGCCCACGCTATAGACTCGCGTGGGGCACGTCGAACAATTCGTCTTGTCTTCCCTTTTCTACACGCTGAGCAGTCAGGCAGCTTGTTGCGTAGGTCACCCATGATCTTCACGCCTCGAGAGGCGTTGACGAGGTGCTCCAGCACCCCCTCGCCCGGGTGACCTAGTCTCTGGTGCTATCTGAACGGTCTTCCTGCGAGTCTTTTGCGCGGTGTAAACGATGTGTGGCGCTGCTTCGCCTGCGTGACGAATCCTGCTTTGGTATTGTCCTCGATAACCTGTTGTCCATGGAGATCGTGAAGGTAGCAGACGAGTGTCCCATCCGCTCTTCGTACGCAATTCTGGCCTGGGCGGTTATCCCACCACATCCCTCGTTGCCGTAGAAGGCGGTAGGAGACTAGATTCGTTGCGAATTCTTCGCAGTAAGCGACGTTGTATAAGCGGAGTCTTACCTTCTTCCCCCGCTCAGCGTCAGCCGTTATATCCACGTTTCCATACCCTAGGATTGGGACTTGTGAGGCTCCTGCCCATAGGTAATCCCCTGGTTCAGCTGCTCTGAAACCTGAGAATCGAGCCCGGTTGTTGAACACGTGTAGCGATGATCCTGAGTCGTATATCGCAGAGTTGTGTAAGGGGTACTCAGTCCGGATCATGAACGCAGAACGGTCACTCGTATACTGCTTCCTCCACGATGCGTTGGCTGACCCCATACACCGACCATACAGTCAGGTCTGCTTCGCTTCCTTCTCGCGTTGTTCACGGATCTTCTTCACGCGGTCCGCGAGGTCGTCATCGGCCTTGAGACGCTCGGTGACCTTCTTCATGATGTCGTTGCTGGGCCTCCATCCTTCATACGCTTCCTCTGGGAAGCAGTAGAAGCAGTTGGCAAGTAGGTGTCGTGGCAGATCACATCCGTGACACGTTGGCATCTCGTTTTGGGTCCGCGAATCGGCGGCCCTATGTCGCTTCTTGGTTGTACTCCGAGGCATGGTCTCCTTGGGTCCTTCTCTTGTTGTGGCAAAGGCACCTCTTGAGGCTCTTGGTCCTGTCGATAGGGTATCTGCGTGGATTCGTATATATCGTCGTACTTCCGCAGAGATCTCGCTGATCGAGGGGTTGTCCGACTCGTGGAACTTCGCCTCGAACGTGGCGTGGAACGCAGAAATAGCGGTCTTCGCAATGACCTTTAGGAAGTCCTCGCTCCACTCGCTGAAGTCCCTTGTCTGGGCAAGGTTGACCTCTTGTCCCTTCAACATTGCGGCCTCCCATTGCTCGAGCCAGTTCTCGATCTCGGCCTTCGTGGTTATCCGCTTTGTAGCCGCTTGCTTGACGGTCTTCTCGTACTCCTCACGCGCGGCGCTCTTTTGTTCATTGTTCGAGATCGAGGCCACGCCCTTCAGCTTGACCATCCAGGCGTGGAGGGTCTCCGTAGGTTTACAGCACGCATTGACGTACTTCTCGGCTGCTGTCGATAGGACCCAGTTGCGGAGCTCTCGTAGAGCAGCCGCTTCACGCTCGTAGATACGGATATCATGGTTGTAGTCGCTCCGGAGCTGTACATACTCCTCACGGTCCTCCTTGACAAGGTCTTGGAGGCGTCTAGCCGTCTCGTTCGATCGAACTTCTTCGATATCTGGTGTCTGTGACACCTCGATGATTGATCCGCGGGTATGTCGCGGTATACCTTTCTTCTTGTAGTCGGAGAAGGCCGGAGGCTCCGGCTTCGGCATCCGCTTCTCGGGGTTTTCGGCGCCGGGATCCACTTGCTCCCAGACGTCCAAGTCGGTGGCTTTACCCTGGAAAACCTTATACCAGGTTGGCCATTGACTGGGGTTGTTGAGGACAATGGATTCCATCTTTGCTTATGTCGTTATTGATTCGGGCTTATCGCGTGGGTTTTGAGGGACGTAAACGGGGTGTTCGTGTGTTTTGCAGTTGATCGGATCTTCGAATAGCTTCGTTTTGCCTGTAGGTAGGCCAATTGGTAGGTAATCAGACTGTTAATTGTTCGAATATTCGTAGGCGCACATTCAGGGGTCAATCGTGATGTGTATTGTGCTTCTTCTTTTCCTAAGACCTGTCCGTATCCCTTACGCGCCTTCTTCCGGCGTGTTCCCTGTGACTAAGCGCACCTAGCGCGGTCCTCGGCCAAACATTCCTCCTAGCGCCTTCCTGGCATCCTAGGCGCTCTGCGTGTGCATCGCTTCCAGCGCCCCTGGCCTACCACCCTTTTTGACATTAGTATTCATACTCCACAGGCTTGATGCGACTGCCTAAGAAGGCATCCATTTCACTGTCGCCCTTTGGAGTTTGCCTTGTATGGCGGCCAAATTTGACCCATTAAAGTGGAATTATTGGAAAAAGGCTTCTAACATTAACTAAAAACTACCAAGACACCCAATACAGGTCAGTTAGCAATTGATGCAGGAGGTCCTTGTGGTTGACAAAGGACGTCTTCGATTCATCGCTCGGTTCGCTGAAATAGTGTCAAAGCTAACTGACGTGTATTATATGTGAAAAGAAGCCATATCAGCTGTACAGGCGGAAGCTTCTGTACAGTACTTAAATTGAAGGAAGGTGGCGCCTCAAAACTATGTATGGATAGTGTCAACCTTCAATGGGTTTGAAAGCTGCGCCTGAGCAAAAAGTTACAATCTAAAGTCATGACCTCCTCAGACGAAATCCCAACCCCACTTGTCCAGTAAGGAATCAAAACGATTCAGTGTACACCGTAATAACTACAGGTCGAGCATCTTTGTTGCACCATGACTGGATAGCACGACCAGCGTTAAACTTGACTGCAGTGTCCAGTGACATGCCTGACAGACTTGGCACCTTTTCCGCACCTTTCCAACCCCGCAGGCCCCTTCGGTTGGTGCCCAGGTCGCCCCTCCCAGGCTGGCCCTGACAATCAGAGGGCGCTATTTTAGCGCCGTTGCACGGGCCATTCTAGCATCATCTTTCTGGAGGGAACGTACGTCGTCGGCTCCTCCCCCTCCAAAAGATCCGACCCGTACAGTCCCTCGCACCATTTACGCAAGAAATCCTGAACTTGGACAACACTACAAACTGTTGCTTCAGAATACCGAATATCAACACGAATAGCAAACAGACCAACTGAAGGCCCAGAATCACTACACACAGAACCCCGGCCTACAACAGACATCATGTCCAGCCCCAAGGAGCGACGAATCGCCAAGGAGCTGATGGACATCCGCGCAGACAAGGACAACTCAGGCGTCTACGCTGCTCCCATTGACGAGTCGAACTTGCTGCACCTCAAGGGATCATTCCCAGCCCCTCCAGACACCCCTTATGCTGGTGGACAGTACCAAGTCGACATCAAGATTCCCGATAGCTACCCATTCAAGTCGCCCATCATCAAGTTCGATACCAAGATCTGGCACCCCAACATCAGCAGCCAAACTGTGAGTCGTGCCATGCTCTTCCAGCTATACACACCTCTGCTAGAAACGTCTCATCCTTCTCTAACCTCTTCAATGTTGACCATGTGCTTCATTTACTGACTGACTGATCCCCAGGGCGCAATCTGCCTCGACACACTCGGCAGCGGCTGGTCGCCTGTGCAGACGATCAAGACGGCACTTCTCTCGCTTCGCATGCTTCTCGAATTCCCTAACCCCAAGGACCCGCAAGACGCCGAAGTCGCCAAGATGATGCTCGAGAACCCCGAGGGCTTCGCGAAGAAAGCGCACGAGTGGGCTGTTAAGCACGCCGGAGCTCCATCCCGCGAGTTTGACACCACAAAGTACCGCAAGGAGGATTCAGGCGAGGCCAAGAGCAATGATAGCAATAGGTGCGTTCTACGGTGCTATGGACACTCGATTACATGGAAGTGTTGGCATCCTTGAGCTATGACTGACCGATCAAAATAGATATCAGGGTTACAACAAGGATCTTGTTGATCGCTTCGTCAACATGGGATTTGAGGTTGATGCTGTTGTTGAGGCTTTTGTCTTCGTCGGCATTGACCGTATGGGTGGTGAGGACTATGAACTGGAGGAAGCGTACATGGGCGACATCACTGCCCGGCTTCTCGGCGAACAATAAACAAGCCATATTCAGCGTCATCTCATTCCACGAATAGAGGCTTGAAACAAGCGAGCTTGGGGGAAAGGTTCCACTTAAGCGGCAATGCATCGAACAGGGAGTCAACAATTACATCTTAGAACGGCGGGGCATTACTTGGGCGGATATGGCTTTTAGCGGGCGAGGGTGTGCCGCGACCCATGGGCTATGATTCTTTTTTAGTTTTCTTTGCAATACGTTTACCCAAACCTCATGTTGGCACGAAGACAGCTTACATAGGATGGCTAAATGTTCCGAAGGGCCAGGATTAGGCGGGTCTAGACAAGCGGGGGAGAAGCGCGGGTATGTGGTTTTTTCCCCTACTTTCCCTGTCTCCTGGCTTCAGTCTCTTGAGGGACTTATCTGCATAACGAACTTGGCGTTTAGGGGGATAACGCATGAGGAATATGCGTCTGTATGACTTTTCTTGTTCCTATTTCTTTTCATTTTTTCTTTATGCTTTGGAATCATGCTCGAAGAGTGTGGCTTTGTAAGATACAATACTGCCGGCGTATTTGTCGCAGACACAAAACCAGTACGTAGTAAGTAAGCGATTCAATAAGCGATTCAAAGGTCACACACCTGTCAAAAGGCTCCAGCAGCATCCATTGATCCGGCATCTGTTGTCCCCATTTTTCTCTTGCGTCGGCCCGCGCGAGGATCCCCTCGGGGTTCGGAGACGGGACCCTTGCTCCCTAGATCGGGGGGGTATGGGGAGTCGTACGACGGCAGGGCCCTGGATCCCGAGATGGCGCGAAGGGGACGAATTAGATGCGGAGAGGAACGGTATGCGGTCGCGGTTAAAAAAAAAAAAGTTTACAGCTTATGGAATTTGAGATACAAAACCTGGGGGGGGGAGTCCTCCCGCAGCGATGCTTGAAATCCAGATCCCTCCACCCCTTTCGTTTGTTCCGCAGTCCTGTCCAGCGTTGCCGAATTCCAGTCTATCGAGTTATTGGGGGAGCGGGCAAACATCTTGACACATCTTGACGACGCACACACTACTCGACGTACGATGCAAGAAACCGCCTCATCCCACCACGCCGGACGCGTCTTTACCGGCGCCTACGGCGGCTGCTACCACGCTTCAAACGAGTTTCTTTTAACATGTTACATACACAGCTGAATGATCCTCCTCTTCACGGCCTTTTATTTGGTCGGTCGGGGTTCGAAAGAAATCAAACGCTTTACAGAAGGTCGCGGCGGACGAACTCGTCGTACAGGGCCTTGCCGAGACTGGCGGGAGAGGGCTCGACAATGACACCAGCGGCCTGGAGGGCAGAGATCTTGGAGTCGGCACCACCCTTGCCACCAGAAACGATGGCACCGGCGTGACCCATGCGGCGGCCGGGGGGAGCGGAGATACCGGCAATGAAGGAGACAACGGGCTTGCCACCGTTGACGGTGTTGTTGGCGCGGAGGAAGTCAGCGGCGTCCTCCTCGGCAGAACCACCAATCTCGCCAATCATGATGATACCATCAGTCTCCTCGTCCTTGAGGAAGACGTTCAGGCAGTCGATGAAGTTGGTGCCGCTGAAGGGGTCACCGCCGATACCGACGACGAGAGACTGGCCAAGGCCGGCCTGGGTGGTCTGGTTGACGGCCTCGTAGGTAAGAGTGCCGGAACGGGAGACAATACCGATACGGCCGCGCTTGTGGATGAAGCCGGGCATGATACCGATCTTGCACTGGCCGGGGGCGATGATACCGGGGCAGTTAGGGCCGACGAGACGCGTCTTGGATTGAGTCTTGAGCATGTTGGTGATGCGGACCATGTCTAGATTGGTAAGTATTAGAGCTATTCATGTGCCTCAAGAGCTCCATCAGAGGTAGACGCCAACATACCGTGCTGGGGAATACCCTCAGTGATGCAGACGACAAGGGGGATCTCGGCAGCGATGGCCTCCTCGATACCGGCGGCAGCCAGAGGGGGACTGTTTCTTCGGGTTAACCTTGAAAGTCCTGCAATTCAAACTTCTCGCGACATGATGACATACGGGACGAAGATGGCGGTAGCAGTAGCACCAGTCTCCTTGACGGCCTCGCTGACGTTGCCGAAGACGGGGAGACCCAGGTGCTCCTGGCCGGCCTTCTTGGGGTTCGTTCCACCAACAACCTTAGTGCCTAAACGTTGTAGAGATATATCAGCCTCGAAAATGTCTTAGATAGCGCGTGGAAAGCGCAATTGCGTCGGAAATATCATTGCGTACCGTAGTCGATGGCCTGCTGCGCGTGGAAACTATATACGAGCACTTATTAGCTTCTTTTCTGCGATTGCGTGTTTATATCTCCAAATCATCGGGCCAGGGGTCGGCTCGGACAAAGATAACACCACTTACGTTCCCTGCTTGCCGGTGAAACCCTGGAAGAGGACCTTGGTCTCGGAGTTGATGCGCAGGTTGTCGATAGTCTTGGAGTAAGGGCTGGCCGAGGAAGCGCTGTAGGACCGTCTCGCGGTCTGGTTCAGCAGCTTGCCTGCTGGGCGCATCTGTCTCGCGAAAGCCTGCATGATGGGCGTCTGGATGGTTACGTGTAAACGTGTAAGGGAAGGATGCGCAGCAAGATTGCAGCGCAATTAAGGGAGAATATGGACGTCGGGGACGGAGGGGAGAGGGCCGAGGAAAGAAAAGACGGTAGAGATACGGGTGTATCAAAAGAGACAGCTGCAGCAATTCACGTCACTTTCCGAAAAAGAAGGGTCGAACTGGCACCAAGCAAAACTTGAACCGAGCTCTTTCGAGACAACCGGGTCTGCAGCGCGAGCCACGGGGACTGTAGCCCGGGAAAACCCGCGCCAGTCGGTAAGGGTGGTTGATCCGGCCGGGCCAATTGGACCGCCAGGATAGAGCACGGTCAGCCCCCCCACTTATGGTATGCGGTTTTGACATGTGGCGGTGCGAGACTTCATAGATGTGGCTGATTACCCCACCATCCCTCTACATGCATTCGACGGTGCCTCCAAAATTTCCCAATGTGAGGGACGTTGACTACCACCTGCAACTCTGACTCGACAGCGCTTTGAACATTTTGATCCTCACGAAGATACGACAGGCATCTGAAGCGGAATGACTGAGATTTTACGAATCAAATAGGCCTCCAAGACACTAAAATCCAATAAAATGGCGACCGCGACCGCCACCGTCACCAAGACGCGGACCAAGAACGACAATTTGCCTCCCGAGAATGAGCGCTTCCTACGATGCTGTGCAGACATTGCCAACGCCCTGATCGAGGACCATGAGGCTGTTCGCGACCCCAAGAAACCTCAGAGGGATCTCAACCTCAACTCCCTGCGCAACAAGTTTTCGCGGAAGCACAAGCTCGGCAACATCCCGCCCTTGACAGCCATTATCGCTGCGATTCCGGAACACTACAAGAAATATATTCTGCCGAAGCTCATCGCAAAGCCAATTCGTGCGTTTTTTCCCTCCTTTTACGTAGTGGTGTATTAAGTGTGTTAATGCCTTCTAGGAACGTCATCTGGTATTGCCGTCGTAGCCGTCATGTGCAAGCCTCACAGGTGTCCGCATATTGCCTACACTGGCAACATCTGCGTCTACTGCCCTGGTGGTCCCGACTCCGACTTCGAATACAGCACGCAATCCTATACCGGATATGAACCCACATCGATGCGTGCCATTCGAGCACGATATGATCCCTTTGAGCAGGCCCGCGGCCGAGTCGATCAGCTCAAATCCCTAGGTCACTCAGTCGACAAAGTCGAATACATCATTATGGGTGGTACTTTCATGTCCCTGCCTGTATCATACAGAGAGGACTTTATCGCCCAGCTACACAATGCCCTGAGTGGCTACCAGACTTCAAATGTGGACGAGGCCGTGGAAGCCAGCGAGATGAGCAACATCAAGTGCGTCGGCATCACAATCGAGACGAGACCCGATTACTGCTGGCAGCCTCATTTGACGGACATGTTGCGGTACGGCTGTACAAGATTGGAAATTGGTGTCCAGTCGTTGTATGAAGACGTTGCGAGAGACACAAATCGTGGTCACACCGTTGCTGCGGTTGCTGAGACGTTCTGCCTTGCTAAGGACGCCGGTTTCAAAGTTGTCAGCCACATGATGCCTGACCTGCCGAACGTGGGCATGGAGAGAGACCTGGACCAGTTCCGTGAATACTTTGAGAGCCCCGCTTTCCGTACGGACGGTCTCAAGATTTACCCTACCCTCGTCATCAGAGGTACTGGTTTATACGAGCTGTGGCGAACGGGTCGGTACCAGAATTACACACCAAACGGGCTCATTGATCTCGTCGCCAGGATATTGGCGTTGATTCCGCCATGGACCCGTATCTACCGTGTCCAGCGAGACATTCCCATGCCTCTGGTTACATCCGGTGTTGAGAACGGTAACCTGAGAGAACTGGCGCTGGCAAGAATGAAGGACTTTGGCACCACATGCCGAGACGTCCGGACGCGTGAGGTCGGTGTAAACGAGGTGAAGAACAAAATTCGACCCAACCAGATCGAGCTGGTAAGGCGAGACTACACAGCCAACGGTGGATGGGAGACGTTCCTCGCATATGAGGATCCGAAGCAGGACATTCTTGTGGCCCTGCTACGTCTGCGCAAGTGCACTGAGAAGTACACCTACCGCGAGGAGCTTGTAGGCCAGCCTACCAGTCTTGTAAGAGAGCTGCACGTGTACGGTACAGCCGTGCCGGTGCACGCTCGCGACCCGAAGAAGTTCCAGCACCAGGGTTTCGGTACGCTTCTCATGGAAGAAGCGGAGAGGATTGCGAGGGACGAGCATGGCAGCGAGAAGATTAGTGTCATTTCTGGTGTTGGTGTGAGGAGTTATTACGCCAAGCTTGGGTACTGGCTTGACGGTCCGTACATGAGCAAGTGGCTCGACGGCCGACCTGGGCCAGACGAGGCCAGCTGAAGGGAGTGCAGTTAGCCATGCGTCTTAGTGGACGAGCCTACGCCAACGACATTGCTGAGCTGGACTGTCTTCTCGGGGTCGACTGCGCGTCTTTAAACAGTCGGCAAGCTGGGGCGAGACTAGGCTACGAAGCTCGCCGGCCTCGCCATCAGCGCGTCGATATCATGGTCTTTGCCATGGTGCGCGGTGCAGGCAACTGGGTGTATCTAATCATTACCCCTTGAGCTCACTTTCCGGCCCGAGCCGCCAGCTGCTTCTCCCATTCAAGAAGACAATCCAAGACACCTGGTGCCGCCTTGTCTTCCAAGGTCAAAATCTCGTCGGCCGTCATAGGGCGAAGCACGTAGTTAGCCACTGTAGCCTTCTCCCGCGCGTCGGGCCGTCCAATCCCAACAGATATCCTCGCCCACTTTGCGCCCGGATAGTCCGCCTCGCGCAGTCTCGCAAGAATGCTCTTGATGCCGTTGTGACCCCTATGACTGCTCTTCCACTTTCTCATCTTGACCACACCCAAATCCTCCTCCAGGTCATCGTGCACAACCACCAGATGCAAATCCGCAGGGTTTTCTTGTGTCGCAAGCGCCTTTTGCCATGCCTTAGCAGTGAAGCCTCCAGAGACGTTCATGAGAGTTGGGCATTGGACCAGAGTGTACTTGTCGCCAATCGAGGCCTTGCAGGATTTGCCGAATAGATCTGTCCTCTTGAAGGCGGGCTGTGAAGGGGAGAGAAGGCCTTGAAGCTGTTTCAGGGCGTGGTGGCCTGCGGAGTGAAGGGTATCTGTATACGGGGCGGGGTTTCCTAGGCTTATGAGGAGGAAACGCGGGTTGAAGAGTTTTTGGGTTGTCATTTTCGCGTCCGTGAAGCTCTCGTCCAGTGGTTGGTTGGATGTCATGAGTGAGAGTTTGGGTGTTGGAGAAGATTGGAGATGAAAGAATTGGAGGTATTGATTGGAGCTGAGTTTGGAGGCTGCATAAAAGAGCATAAAAAATGGTCCCGCCTACTCATGAGAAGTACTGTCTTACATAAGCGCGTTTGCTGTAGCTTGTTGCTATTGATCAATCTCAAATGAGGCAACTAGGTGACACTAAAAGTAGTTGCAACGGCTACACACAGGAGTAAAGGCTAGTGGTGAAACAGAGCTAGATAAGTGTCTAGGCAACAGAGTGAATGTCAATGTCGAGCTGAGGGAAAGACTTGGGTGCTATGTACACAAACTTACAAAGGATGCTTGCTTTCAGACAGTGTAACAGTGAGTGTGAGTGAGTGTAAGTGAGTCGTGGTGTGCTTTCACAGTCATGCAAGACAACCCATACGTAAAAAAAAAAAAAAAAAAAAAAAAAAAAAAAAAAAAAAAAAAAAAAAACCGTACTGAGAATTTGATGCTTGGCAATTGCAACAACGAGCAACCTCAATAGTTATGGTCCTTTGACTCAAATTTTAATGTTTTCGACGCAGGATTTGGGAAACATTCACGGTGATTAAGCATAAGATGCACGCAAATGGGTCTCGGAAAACGGCATTTGCGCCCTCCACTAAGTGGACTGCGCCACAGCGTACCGAGACAGCCAGGCGGCCTACTGGGCATGTTACAGGGGGCCAAGGCCGCTAAGGACGTGGCGCAGTCTGAGCCTCTGTCGCTGACGTCGGTTTCCGCTCGCTGGGCTGGCTTTGTCGTTGGGTTTCCCCAGCCTGGATTAATGAGTGATTCGTCCGCGCAATCAAAACCTCCGGGGCATCAGAACAGGCAGCCCATTTTCCCAATTTCAACTTAACCTTTGGACGACGAAACGGCACTACGAACACAAATAGAGATACCCCGCGGCGAGAAAAAAACCACTTAGTGATCAATACACACACCGCTCGAGCCTGTCGACTTTTTTAATTTTATTTATCCTTTCCTGTCGGATCGATTGAACCAAATACTCGGAGAAAGGACAGGCACAATGTCGTGGGCAGGTATGCGAACCTCGGACGACCCCGCGCTCCCACTTTGAAGGGCCACAACAGCAACAAACACCGATGGACAGTAGGACTGATGGCTGGCGACAGGATTCAAGAAGAATGTCAACCGTGCGACGACGCAGGTGATGATGAAGACGGGTACGCTGCAACCACTGCAAAAGACCACCAACGCTCGGTTCTGACCTTGGCAGGGCATGTGGAGAAGACGAATGACCGAGACTACGAGGTTGAGGAAAGGTGGGAATACCTTCGCAACGCTTCGAAATAACGCATGCTGAGACATCCGATAGACGATTTAGAACCATGGAGGCCGCTTCGTTACGACTACAGAAGGAGGCGAAGGGATACTTGGACTCATTGAGAGGTGGGTTTAACTGTTGTGGGGTTGACTGCAAGTGCCAAGCGGGCTGACCGGCTTGAAGCCATGACTGCTTCTCAGATGCGCATTGCCGAGACGATAGATGCGTTCTATGGCGACTCTGGAGCGAAGGACGGCGTGAGCAGAAGTTACAAGCAGGCTGTGGAGGATCTCGATGCGGAGACGATCAAGGCGCTCGACGGCCCTTACCAGTACGGTTACCGCCCCTTTACTTGGGCATCGATGTGCTGACATGATCGCAGACAAGCCGTTCTGGAGCCCATCTCTCGCTTCTGCGCATATTTCCCTGACGTTAACGAATGTCAGTACCTCTCTCCTTAAACCTCTTTCCCCCCATGTTTGACACGCACTAACACCTTGCAGGCATTAAAAAGCGCGGCCACAAGCTCCTCGACTATGACGCCCTCCGTGCCAAGGTCAAGAAGCTCGTCGAGAAGCCCGACAAGGACGTCACCAAGCTGCCCCGCGCCGAGAAGGAGATGGAGATGGCCAAGTCCGCATATGAGCAACTCAACGAGCAGCTCTCCACGGAGCTGCCACAGCTCATCGACCTGCGCGTGCCCTATCTCGACCCGTCGTTTGAGGCGCTCGTCAAGATCCAGCTGCGGTTCTGCGCGGAAGCATATAGCCGTATGGCGCAAGTGCAGCAGTATCTCGACGCAGACACGAGAGAGCAGTATGCACAGGGTCAGCTCGATCAACGGGTCGAGCAGGTGTTGCAGGAGATTCGGGAACTTAGCATCAGCGGTACTGTATGAGCTGTCCTTTTTTGCGACAGGGGTCTGTTCATGACGTGTGGTAATGGCGGTTTATTCACGACTCGGTCTGGGATGGGGGCAGGTTGGGGTTTAATAGAAAACACCCCCTTTACTTGCGAGTCACACAACTGGAGGGTTTTGGGGGCGTCAAGCCCACCCCTTTTTTCTCATGTATGAAAATGACTTTCTTAATTATGGGTATCATTGCTTTGTTTGCTCATTTCGAGCCATCTGACCCCTCTATCGGCCTTGTTACTCGACCAAAAGCCTTGCGTAGCTCAAAAACATCATGCATAATGGGATGTGTAGAGCTGCCGAGCAACATCTTACATCCCACCCTTTCGTAATCTATCCCTCTGATAACGCCTGGGCAAACGCAGTCCTCGATTGCACTCGAATGTCATGACCGAGTGCTAAAGCTCAGCATCTATCCCACGCCCCAGGGCTCTGAACGCCCATGGTTCTCATCGTCAGTTCCATCTCCCTGGCCCTCGAATCAAGAACCATAAGCTCCTAGCCCTTGGTACCATTCTGCGCGCCAAAGAGGTCGCTCAAACTGAGCCTGCGGCCAATAGCCTGCATTGCCGGGCCGAGTTCCTCCTGCTGCGGCGGCACGCCGGCAACTCCCGCACTCGCTTCCTCGGAGGCATGGAGCTGAATCTGGCGCAATGTCTCACTGATCATGGCGGCGTTCATAACGCGCGTGTCCTCCTTGTCGGCGTGGATCCAGATGCCCATAACCTTGGGCACGTCTTCGTGCGCCTGCTCCTGCCTCAGCCGGAAGATGTAAATCTCGTCCATCACCTCAAAGTCCGCAACATCGCTCAGATCGAGAATGACGTTTTCCAAACCGCGGCGGTTGAGCACGAAGATGCAGGCCCTCGGCGCGGGGACTCCGGGGAGGGGGTCCTGCATGCAGAGAAAGTAGGTACCTTCAATGCCCGTCTTGTCCCAGCCTGGCAGGGTAGGGTTGAAAGTGTAGACGACGGCATTAGCGGCGATGGAGAGGGTCGCATTGATGGAGGGGAGGTAACGGCGGAGGACGGAGAGGTTGAGATCCGTATTTGTGCGGGTGAAGAGGGCCGGGTTCGGTGGCGGGGCGGGATGGGTGTCGAGGTAGTGGGCAGCATCGGACTCGTAGTCGGATTGAACTGGGCGGGGGCCTGTGGCAGAGGGGTGGCGGTTGTGGCCTCGTTTGCGGGGAGTTTGGCGAGACATTTTTATGTCTTTGATGGTCGAGAATGGTGGTGGTGGTGGTTGTGGAAATTGAAAGATGAGGAGAAGGAGGTTGGTGATTGTTGTGGAGGGACTAGATCGCGATCGGCGCTCAGCGCACTTGAGAGTACCGTTAACCCCCTATTATCTGTGTACCTAGAATTCGGTATAATATCTTGGAATGTTCGGTGAAAACGGTCTTGAGCAATGGCGACAGCTCGGTTCGGCGTGGTGTTGTTGTTTAGTCGTGACAGAATCACAAGGTGCAGATGTCGCAGTGGTAAGGCTGCGAGACGAATGAGGTCAGCTAGGAAGTGGGTCCCGATAGCCTTATCATCGGATTTGACCTGCCCTACCGTAGTATCTGCGCCTACTACGTACTCGAGTATCGCTGTTTTACCCCGCCAATCCCAGCGCTGTGGCAGTGCAAAAGGATGTGCTGGCGGCCCCTCCCACCATACTAGGCCTCCCCTGTTCATATCAACAGCGGCACTGGACGACTGTTGCTCGTACCACGTAGTAGCGGTCACTACCTCACTGTCCTAGCTAGCGCTGCGACCTAGACCCCGAAGTGGCTTGCTGGGACCCCCAGAGAATGCACGTCACTGATCCAGCCCAGCTACCGTGATTGAGCACGCCTGGAAAAGGGAATCACTTGGCGGTACTGCAGAACCCCAGAAGACTGACTCTATTTCTTTTCTTCGACATATTCCCGATTGATCTAGTCTTTTCCCTTTTCTCCTCCTTCATATCATATTCATCCTGCAACCCCACCAGTTTCTCGCCTTGTCGGCGCGTCTGTTGTGTACCACTTCCGACTCGTCCGGTATTTCTGGCCGGGGGAAGGGTTTCATCTGTTTCTTTTGGTTGTTCCTTTCACGCATAACTGTCGCCATCCTGGTTAGTGACCTCACTTACGACGACTTTTGCTGCCACGCTGGAAATACGAACATCATGCGCCGGGCGACTCCGGACTGATCGACGACAAGCATAGCGAAAGGACCCCGAAACGACCGACCCCGTCCTGTCTTGTCCTGTCCCGCCATCCCCGCAATCAAAATCTCAGGTTTTGCCTCTCACATAGCTCGAATCTTTCCGTCTACCTCTCCTTGAGGGTAGAGGTTGAAGCACTGCACACCTCGCAGCGATGGCGCCGTCCGAAACCGCCCCCTCGACGACCTCAGATCCCGTCGACCTGACTTCCACTCCGCAGTCTCTTGCCCGTGCCGTCTACGCCCGCCGAGCAGAGTATGTTCGTCCTCACCGGATCAGGGTCAAGATCGGCACCTGGAATGTCGCTGCCTGTCCAGGAACCGACAAGGATCTCGCAAGCTGGTTTGTAGATGGATATGGTCTTGACGCTTCCCTGTCCCGCCTGAACGTGGCCGACAACAATACGGTCGAGACAGCTCCCGTTCCGACTACGACCTCCGCCGATGGTAACGATACCAAGAAAGCAGCCGACGACACTAGACAGGATGAATCCGACGATAAAACTAAGCACGCAGCCGACGACACCATCCAGGAAAAACCCGATGACAAAACCAAGAAAGATGACGGCGACAACACCAAGCAAGCCTCCAAGGACGAAGAGAACTCAAGTTCAGACTCGCCCGCCAAAGAGCCTGACGCTCCTGTCCATGCCACTCTTCCTGACTCTACCCCCGCCGCAAAACCAGATGATGTACACCTTGTTGGAGGCGACAAGATCGGACTGTACATTCTTGGGTTGCAAGAGATAGTGGACCTGAACATGGCAAGGGATTATATGAACCGGATGTACTCCGACCCAGGTCCCATGCAAAAGTGGAAGGACGCCCTGGAAGCAGCCATGCCAGAGGGGTATCAGCTTGTTGCTGCAGAGCAAATGTCGGGCCTCTTGCTGCTGGCATATGCATCACCGGAAATCGCTCCGACCATCAGCAACGTGAGCACCGTATCTGTCGGCACGGGGTTATTTGGATACCTGGGCAACAAGGGCGCAGTCACAACCCGAATGTTGCTTGGAGAAACAACCCGCATGGTCTTTGTAAACTGCCACCTTGCTAGCGGCCCGGAGCAGACTTACTTGGATCGGCGGCTGTGGGACATCGGGCAAATCCTGTCACGGACACAGTTCGAGCCCATCAACCTCGCCGGTGAGAATGACGCCGAACCCGAGAAAATCGGCGACGAGGACTTTGCGTTTTGGCTTGGCGACTTGAACTTCAGGGTGGATGGCCTGCCAGGTAACGACATTCGGCGATTATTGCTGCTGCATACCCGCGGTGAGTATGACCTGGACAAGAAGGGACGCAAAGTGATTGCAGGCGAGGAGGTACTGGTCGTGAAAAACTCGAAGAGTAAGAAGGGAGAGGATAGTGACGACGACACGTCCACCATTGACACGACCTTGTCGTCGGAGCCTAGCTTTGATGATTCAGAGAGTTCTTTACCAGACCCTGACGAGTTCATGCCGGACCCCAGCGATGACCCTGCTTCATTGCAGGCGACTCTGGATTCCCTCTTACCTCATGATCAGCTGAGGAGGATTATAAGGGAGAAGAAAGCATTCCATGACGGATGGAGAGAGGGCCCGATTACTTTTCTGCCCTCATACAAGTACGATGTCGGCACCGTCAGCTTGTTTGACTCGAGCGAGAAGCAACGTGCCCCAAGTTGGTGCGACCGCATCCTTTACAGGACAAGAAAAGATAGGGAAGAGTACGAGCAGAAGGTCAAGGATAGCGAAGAAGCCAAGAAAAGAGACGAGCAAATGACTGCACAGGGCTTGGATCACGCAACGGACGACGAAAGCGTACTTTTTGACTACGACCCGGACGCTGACGGGGAAGAGCCGCCTACCGGAGAAGCCGGTCTTGATTACGACGAGTATGATGAGGACGAGAATGAGCCGGAGGATGTTGTAACCAAGGAGGGCTTCACAGACAGGATACAACTCGACATATATACATCTCACCAACGGATAATCTCGTCGGATCATAAGCCCATTATATCCGTCTTTACGCTCGACTACGACGCCGTGGTGCCCGAACTGAAGGCCAAGGTCCACGCTGAAGTTGCAAAGGAGTTGGACCGGGCGGAAAACGAAGGCCGACCCTTGATTACGGTTGTCCTCGATAATCATGACCTCGAAGCCAAGGGCGAGTCAGGGCCGATGGACTTGGGTGAGGCGGTCGACTTCGGCGACGTTGGCTACCGTAGCAGACATACAGCTACTTTAACCATTGCAAATACTGGCCGAGTACCAGCAAAGTTTTCCTTTGTTGAAAAACCTACGATAGAGGACGATTCAGACTCCTCAGGCCCGCCGGCATGGCTCAGCACCTCTTTCAAGCGCACAGAAGTCGAAAACGACGAAGAGCCGCATATCCTTGGAAGTGAAGTCACCCTCGAGCCAGGCGAGACTGTAAGCGGTGTGCTGGAGGTTTTTGTTAGCGACATTTCGCACGTGCGAGCTCTCAACGACGGCCGTTCTGCCCTCGAAGATATCCTTGTTCTTCGTGTTGAAGACGGCAGAGACCATTTCATTCCCGTCCGCGCGTCTTGGCTCCCGACCTGTTTTGGTCGGTCAATCGACGAGCTCATCCGGATCCCTGACGGCGGTATACAGAAGTTCGTCAGGTCTAGGGTATCAAATGGCTCTGGCTCCATCCCTTATGACTTGGATGTTCGTTGCGCCGCGCCAAAAGAGCTCTTCAAACTCACCGAGGCAGTCGAAGTGATGATCTCGCGCGCCATTGCTGACGCAAACATGATTGAAGAGCATCTTATCCCAGGCGACAAGCCGGGCTGGCCGTTCGATGAGACGGCTTGGCTGTTCAACGACAAGGAAAATCGAGACAGCCAGGTTTTAGCTTTGATCGAGGCTCTTGACACAGACCAACCCCTTATCGACGTCTTGCCCGTCGAAACACCGTCTCTTTACCGCGCCGAAGTCATTGCCGAAGTTCTCCTCCTGTTTCTCTCAGGGTTGACCGATGGCATCATAACAGCAGCGCTCTGGGCCAAAATCGAGGTTGCGATCCCTCACCTAGGTGCCGTAACAGCACGCTCTTCAGTGGAAATCGAGGACGACAAGACTTCTGTACTGGACATTCTCGCCACGGCGCCGAACCATAACATTGCGTTCGTGTTCCTGACGGCAACTCTCTCCAAGGTCGTATCGGAACTCGCGCCCATCTCAAGGTCCGAGGTCGAAGCCTTGACGATGCAGAAACCCAACCGGCGGAGTCTGAGTTTCAGGAGGCTGACGGGCGGGAACGCCGCTGCGGAGGCGGCGTTGGCAAGGAGGAGGGCGAGGGAGAGGAGAGTGGCAGAGGTCTGTGGGAAGGCTGTCTGCAGAGTCGGGCTGCCGGCAAAGGACAAGGAGAGGAAGGCGGTCGAAGAGAAGGTTAGAGGGGTTTTGGAGATTTTTGTTAGGAGACCACTTGAGGATGGCTAGCGAGCTACATATATAGAGGTGCGGGAATGATACCGATTGTACTTTTGATCGTGAAATACGGATCCAATGGAAGGTCATGGAGGCTGTTTTTGTCGGTGAAGTCGACAGCAGCTGTATCAACTTTCGATTGCACTTTATTCTCTAAGCCGCCACTGTCATATTCACATCTCAAGTCCATATACATATAAAATGATTAACGAGACGTTTTGCACAGAAATCTTTAGAATGGGTAGAGTGGCAAAGAAATGGGTCTCGATACTGTCATCCATTTGAGCAAAGTTCAGTATTTGAACTTGCGGAATACCACTCATACCGCTCGCTCGAATAACCTTTACGTGATAACGAGCAGAATTTGCGGCTTCCATTGGCCAATTCAATAAATTCAACAACCAAAAAGGTTGTCTAGGGAACCGCCAATGATGCTTTGAAATTCAATCATAACGGTTAGTAATAGTGCTTGAATTCGGGTGCCTAAATGAATTCGCCGCCAACTAACATGCGATTACCAATAAGAAAGATGACAAGTCCAGGCACCCGAATAATTCAAATCAACCGCTGCAGAACATAATATTTACCTGTGCCCTGTTCCCACAGAAACGGCATGTCACAATGACCAACACAAGTACCGCGCAGAACTAGATCGTTAACATTTGTTTGCTGCGGGCGCCTTAGTCCGGTGTGACGATACAAAACATGAGCAAGTCTTACTCGATGCGGTTCACACATCGGAAAAAAACAACTCCTACCAAGAAGTTTTAGGCACCATTTTAAAAAAGATGAAACAGATGTAGGCAGTAACTTAAGGACTGGACGACATGTAGCTATTTGGGCCATGGCAAACTGAAATGGTGGAGCATATGTTTGCTTGGCTCCCGGACGAACCTCGACCGATGGACCAAAATCTCGCTCCACTTGTCGCCGGACGAATCGGATGTTGGATCGTTTTGGGCAAGGAAAAGGCCTGGTCTAGAACAGTAAGCTCGATATAAGGCCTCACTCGCCCCCCCGCGGGAAATTTTTATATCAGAGTACCTTAGGCTTGGGCATCAAATATTTGGTTTTTGGTATTATTCGACATTTTTCACCGTCCAAAATGCGCGAAATTGTAAGCTTTGGTTTTGCTCATCCTGGGTCTCCTCTCTCTACGTTTGTTATGTTGTTGATCTTTACTGACTGTAGATATATCGCAGATTCACCTTCAAACAGGCCAGTGTGTGAGTGTTACAGTATCATTTCCTGATGGCACATTTCTGATAAGTTTATACAGGGCAACCAAGTTGGCACTGCTTTTTGGTATGGATTCTCTCTGAGAATTTGGGGGTATGAAAACTGACCCAGGACTTCTGGGAATTAGGCAGACTATTCATGGCGAGCATGGTTTAGATCAGGATGGCGTGTGAGTATTGACAACACATATAAAATGCCTCTTTATTGAGATCTTGACTGACCTGGCAAAGCTTCCGAGGCGACTCTGCGCAACAGTCTGAGCGGCTCAACGTCTACTTCACCGAGGTATGTCTCTTACAGATGATATTCCTGACCCGACTCACAACAATCTTCTCCGTATAGGCTTCAGACAAGAAATACGTCCCTCGCGCGGTCTTGGTTGATCTTGAACCGGGCACAATGGATGCCATCCGCTCCGGACCCCTCGGCGACTTCTTCCGCCCAGACAACATGGTGTACGGCCAATCTGGTGCCGGAAACAACTGGGCAAAGGGCCACTACACCGAGGGCGCCGAACTAGTTGACCAGGTTCTCGACGTCGTCCGCCGCGAGGCAGAGCAATGCGATAGTCTTCAGGGGTTCCAGATAACCCACTCACTGGGCGGCGGCACCGGTTCCGGCATGGGCACCCTCCTCATCGCCAAGGTACGCGAGGAATTCCCAGACCGCATGATGGCGACGTTCTCCGTTCTGCCGTCTCCGAAGGTGTCCGAGGTCGTCGTCGAACCGTATAACGCTACCTTGTCCGTGCACCAACTTGTCGAGAACAGCGACGAGACATTCTGCATCGACAACGAGGCGCTCTACGACATCTGCCGCAGGACGCTCAATCAGCCGCACCCTTCCTATGGCGAGCTCAACAAGTTGGTGGCGAGAGTCATGTCCGGCTTGACGACCGGATTTCGCTTCCCCGGACAGCTGAACGCCGATTTGAGAAAGTTGGCCGTGAACCTCGTGCCGTTCCCTCGGTTGCACTTCTTCACCGTCGGCTTCGCACCTCTCACTACCTCGTCCGCGTACATGAACCTGGGGGTCTCGGAGTTGACGCAGCAAATGTTCGATCCGAAGAACGTCATGTCCGCGTCAGACTACCGTAACGGCCGCTTCTTGACCTGCTCCGCCATCTAGTACGTTGACAAACCCACCTTTTCTCCTTTTGCTATACATCTCGTGTAAACTAGATGACTAACGTGTACTCTCTAGCCGAGGAAAAGTGTCGACGAAGCACATCGAAGAGCAGATCCGCACCGTGCAGTCCAAGAACTCTGCGTACTTTGTCGAATGGATCCCGAACAACGTGCAGACTGCCCACTGCTCTATCCCGCCGCGCGGTCTTTCAGCCTCATCGACCTTTATCGGGAACTCGACGGCGATTCAGGATATTTTCCGCCGCATCGGCGAGCAGTTCAGCGCCATGTACCGTCGCAAGGCGTTCTTGCACTGGTACACCGGTGAGGGCATGGATGAGATGGAGTTCTCGGAGGCGGAGTCTAACATGAACGACCTCGTGTCCGAGTATCAGCAGTATCAAGATGCGGGGGTTGATGATGAGGAACCTGAGGGTTTTGAGGAGGATGTCCCTGAGGCGGAAGAGTAGGATGTGAGAGTTGTCTTGGTCTTTAGACTGATTTGATTTTGTGTAGAAAGCCTTGGAGGTAATAAGAACCAGGGTTTACATAAAGTTGTTTGCGTAAGACCATGGAGGATATCATGGTGTTTCCTTTCGTTACACTTCCACGTCTTCTATCTCCTTGAGCATATTCATCAATTTCTGTTTCAATTGTCTTCATTCAACAGTTTTTTCTCTTTTCTTTTTCTTCATCTTCATTTTCTAATTGATGTGTGAATTATGCCAGTACTTGAATGAGAGAGCAGACTTCCTCTAGAAAGCCTCCATTCGGGGTGTTGTATATTGGGCCATCACAAGGGAAATTTCGTGCTCAAACTTTTGAAATGTCGCATTCTATGTACTCAAATATTTAATTTAGGCATCATATTGAGAATTGATATTCACATGAGTGAGTAACAATAACAATGCCGACGGTGGTTGTTACACCTTAGGCTACCTTTGCTTCCTCCGAGATACGCCGGTCCAATGGCCCCACTTTTTCTATTTCGTCCGAGACTTTTCGGACGAAATCCGCTATTCCTCGACTTCAACGATACCACTGTTCGTCCGGGCAGGCTCGAACCAACACCTTCACCCACCCTCAGTACACTTTCAGCTGCAGCCTGTGTCAAGGTATTCTTCGATGACTCCGGAAAAGAATACTGGTCGTGGTGGAAAGCCTTCGGCCGCGGAGCGAGCCTCTGCAAGACGTCGGCATGTTCGGAAAGGTACTCGAAGCTGTTGGGAATGCCGGCGGCGCAAGATTCGTTGCCTCTTCGATGAGACGAGTCCCTCGGATACTTGTCGAAGGTGCTGGGGGAAAGGAATTCCTTGCGTGAGCCAAGAATTTCCGGAGGACCACTTACCGCCGGCACAGACTCCGGCCGGCAGCGTGGGCGATCGGCTGGGACGGATGGAGAGGCTCATCGAACATCTGTACCAACGGACGGATTCGGGCAAGTCTCCAATGCCAGACATGCCTCAGCAGCTTCCTCTTGTGGATTCCGTTTCAAGTCCAAAAGTAACCTTGCCATCTACTCTACAAGGAGACGTTGCTGGCGATGGTGGTGATGATAGCGGCGCAGACAATGAGCTGCGTCAAAGTCCCTTGACAGAAAGCTCAAGGCCAGCGGATGGACAAGTGAGTGGACCATCATTAACTCCGACACGTTTATAGGCAATTTTTGAGTTTCTCACATACTGATTTTAGTACTCATAGTCTGCACCACAAGCTAAGCCCCAAAACTCAACGACTTCTTGGCAAACAATCACCCAATCCCATCACCGGCAGGCTTCTCTCAGCCACGGAGTCCCTGCTGTCCCACGTTCCTCTTCCAACTTGCACCTCTCAGCACTCGCAAATGAGTTAGCAGCAGCATTACCGTCTATGGAAGATTGCCGGATCATTCGCCAACTGTATACAGACGCCGACCTTATGTTTCAACTGATGTTTACACCGCACGGCCAACTCGAAGTTCAACCTCAGCCGGTAGAAGAGTTCCTTGATTCACTTTACAATCACATGCATCCTGTCCTCATGGCAAAAAAGATGCTAACACTAGCTACAATGATACAGAGGATACCAGCCGCTCACGTGCGTGGTTCACCTCCCGCAGTTTTCCCACGTCTTCTCATGCAACGAATGGCTGATGCGGCAACGTCGATGGTTTGTGAAAACAATAAGTTGATGGAGACGATAGATGCCCTTCAATGCCTCGTTCTTCAATGTATATTTCTCGCAAATGGAGGCAACTTGCGCCTGGCTCTGTTGGCCTGCCGACGGGCGTTGTCGGTCGGCCAGCTGATGGGCATCCATCGACCACACGATTCGGCTTGTATAGCAACTGTCGACCCAGCTTCCAAAACCAACACAAGGTTTGTGTGGTTCAGGATATTATACTTGGAGCGTTTCATATGTCTACTCTTGGGACTGCCTGATAGCATCAGGGGCTCGGCCGGTAACTTCACCGAAACGTGGCGAGAAACGCTGGAGGAGCACCCCATAGACGTACTGGAGAGAATGCACTGCTCCATGGCTTCGAAAATCATCCAGAGAAACGAAAAGGATTCGCTCCCTGTCTTGCTGGAAATCACCCACTCACTCGATCTCGAAATGCAAGCAGCGGCCGCAAGCATGCCTCCCCGGTGGTGGGCAGTACCCAAATTCAACAGGCAAGGTAACGGAGCATTAGATATCGTGGAAGAGAGCATGCGTTTGTGCACCCAAATGTTTCATTACTTGCTTCTCATTGAGATCCACTTACCCTTCATGCTGCGGCACACGCAGGACGGCGCAGCGAGCAGCAGCAGAATGGCTTGTATCGATGCGAGCCGTGAAGCGCTGATACGGTTTTCTGCAATCCGCAATGCCAAGGGCATATGTAGCGTTCCTGATGCGGCCGATTTCTTTGCGTTGATTGCTGCCATGACGCTTCTGTTGGCGCACATCGATGCAAGGAGACGGGACCGTGGCAACGACGTCCTTGCTCACCAGAGATACACGGATCGGGACAAGGTTGAAGAGGCACTGGAGCTGATGCGTGATGACAGCTCTGTATCTACAGACATGTTATCGATGAGGAGTGCAGATGTTCTTTTACAGCTCCTTGACATCGAAGCTCGCGCTGCTGCGGGGTCAACCTTTACTGCTAACTTGACACCAAGCACAGTCTCGACGCCTCTTGCAGATAGGGATGTGTCGGGCGTAGAATCGGGCAGCCTGCAGCTGCGGATTCCGTACTATGGAACTGTCACCATTTCACCTGATGCCCCCCTCTCGAGAGAGCCCTTCAAGCCAGTGGAGAACCAAGCACAACAGAATCCTGGAAGCTTTGGTATGTACGACCCGGCAGGCATGGCTCTGGGAAGCGAAGATACAATGGCGGTGGGCGAGATGCCCGCACAAGAAGCAGTGTTGAACTCCGACCACGGTGCTCTAATGGACGCAACGACGAACGATGGAACATGGCCTGCAGAGGATACCAACTTTCACCTACTTGCTCCAGGGTTTTCCGCGTGTGTGCAAGACTGGACTTTTCAAGGTGTCGATGCCGCCTTCTTCGATAGTATGATAAGAGGGTTCGAGGGACCCGATTCTTGCTACGGCCAGAGTTGAACTTTGACAACGTAATGAGCAGAGATGAAGAGAAGAAATACAGTTCCTGATCCTTGGGCCCACCATTTACGCCACGAGAGCGTGAGGGGTATCAAAACACTCATCCCACGTCCTCTTCCCCGAAGCCCAGAACGTCTCCAGCACTCGTACAGCAGCCAAGGGCAGATAGGCGCCCAAATCCTTACTCGACGTGATGCACTGTTTCACCACGAACGCCCGTCCGGCCGCGCTGCCGGACGCCGCTTCGAATCCGGCAACTATGAGTGGCCAGGCAACACAATGCTTTACCATCGGTTCGTTGGCCGCCTGATCAAGAAGTGCGAAGAGACGTCCGTAGTGTATGGTTCTTACTGCCTTCCACCCAGCTGAAAGGGGTAGTGCTCCAAGACATTGCAGTGACGAGATGGCGTACAGAGCAGTAGCGGACTGGTAAACACGGCCCATAAGTAGGAACATTTCCTTCGAATCAGTCTTTGACTCGACCCAAATCTCCGGCGAGAACTCGATGATGCTCTCTACCAGGTTCTCCGCTGCTGATTGTACCGATCCCAAGTCTTCGCTCCAGCTGTTGGTTGCTATCAGGAATCGAAGCCGGTTGATGCGGATGATGTCGGCAAATAGCTCTACTGGACAGGGAAGCAGAGGGTAGTAGCCCAGCTGGAAAAGTTCGGAAATCATGTCGATGTTCTTGTAGCTGGTAGTCGGCCCTACTTGGTCGTGTGCCGGGCTTGTTGTGTTTGCCATAACTTCGACGCTGTTGATTCACTGTCAGCTTGATGTCTTTTGATGCTGAGCACGAGGTATTCAACAAATGGGAGATAATAGGGGCGAGGGGCGTCAGTTTTCGAGAGCCCCGTACAAATTCAATACTTACATTTTGGGAAAGAGCAGCAATGGGTGCAGATAAGGCGTGGTGCGGAACATGACTTCAAACCCGCCTCGCATTGCCATCAGCCCTGCTAGTCCATTTAGGTGATGGCGCCAATTTGCTGTAGTCGCCGACCCCATTAACTGTTACAGTTAGAAAGAATTCCTTGACATGACTATGCGAGAAAAGGTGAATAAAAACCAGGTATCAACTGACATCTGCAAACATAAACACCATCACGCTGCCAAATGTACTATCGGCACCGCGGATGCGGTCATTGTTGACATCCTCATTCAAGGCCTGGATTGCCGCGCACCGATGCTGATGAAACCGAGACTGTACCTCGACAATGAAGGGGTCGTTCTTCCTGCGTCCTATGCGCAACATGCGGTGGTCGATGGCCATAGACACAAGGGCATGTTGTGTGGCGCGAGGCATTAGATGGATGTATGTCACTGGAATAACCCACGGACTGCTCGTTAGTTGGTTCGCTAGGAAGGACGGGTACACTTGATCGTTCCCTGCAGCACACCGTTAGCTTCTGGCGAGGGCAATATGAACCTTCAAGCCGCCTTGCTGCCTCCACATTTATCGCGACATACTACGCAGCCAGGGTTCACTCACAGTACATGGTCGCCTCAACGAAGTCGCATGTTTCTGATCTCAGCTCTACTCCGGGGAAGATGTGGACCAGCTGTGTGGAAACATTGGAGCTGGACTTAGTGGTATCACTACCGTCCTCTGAGGAACTCGACTTTGGCGACGCGTCCTTATCGGATGGCTTCTTCCGCTTCCAGGTGCGAGTCTTAACCTTGCCGGGGGTAAGCCAAGTCAAGGGCTTCTTGTCCTCGTACCCAGGACACACAACACCGGTCGCCTTGCATTTCCCGCATACGGGACGAGCAGCGTCACAGACAACACGGCGACGCTGGCACTCCCAACACTGTCGCCGTCCGTTGCCGCCATGGGAGGGTTGTGGAGGTGGTGCAGCCGTGGTGGCCAGCGCCAGCCGTCGGGAAACCGAGGTCATGGTGCAAATTTTATTGAACAAGGGGTGTGAGTACTGGAGGTAATCGCTTCACGCTTTGGGCTATTACAAGTAAACGATGCACACACACTATGCACCGCACCAGATCAGTTTCGGGGTCGAGTTTATTAAGTGATTGAAAGGGTCTCGACGTAAGCATTCAACGGGATATGATGTGGGTCTTGAGTCCGGAGGCGGAGTTGAGTCTTGGCCAGAGCATTTGCCTATTCAGGATAGGCGCCGAATCCTTCCACGTTCCTCTGCATGCCGTTGGCGTTGGTAGCCAGCCCTATGGGGGCTATGAAATGACGCGTGTGTTGCTTAACGCCCCGATATCGTGTGTGAGAACTGAAATGCCAATGAATACTAGACCATAACGGGAGTTACCAGGGGCCAAGCTTTATGTGCCAGGAGATCTGCAGAAACGCCTAGAATTTTGACTTTGTGAATGTCACACCGTCTGTTGGCTTTCCGGTTTTTCTTTTCCCCCTCCGATTGGTAGGTGGAAGTACTAAAATGATAGAAAACCTGCCAGTTGCCGTAACATTTGTGCTGTTTCATCAAAAATACTCTTTAGGATGTTACTGCTGGACGCACTGACGAACATACAGGGATTAATACTCGACTTATCCAGACGCTCAATCAACAACATCCGTGAAAGCCAGCTTGCGAAAAGTTCCATTGCGTGGCTGCTTAATGAAGGCGCAGTAATATGTTGTTACGCGGCTTGGAAGGAGTCTCGAATCCTTGATCAGAAATAACCATATAGGATTTATGGTATGGATATATCATATCCACCTCCGGCTTTCTGCCATCTGATGACGAGGATGGGACGCAGCTTGTCATGTGATACCCATGCTGCCTCGGTCTGAAAAAATCGGCCCCGTTCGATCTGTTGAGCGGGTCATGATGGCTGAGCGGACCTGGACACACATCGCTTCATGATTAACATCATCCTCGATAGTCTAGTGGTGAGGATATCGGCTTGTCACGCCGGGGACCGGGGTTCAATTCCCCGTCGAGGAGTTTCTCTTTTGAGTCTTAATTTTCTTTTTCTCTGGAGCAATGAAGGCTAATCACGTAGTTCATGAGCTCAAGTTTCATTGCGAGGGTAGGTGTGGGGTGTAGAGAAAGCTAGCTAGAGATGGCTCTTGAAGGAAAATCTCAAAAAACTTTCCGTTTTGTGGATAAGATTCGCCTTTAGTCCTCAACATCTGCCATGCCACAATTCACTCTAAGCTGCTGTTGATCGCATCTCGCAGTGCTCATAGCCCGTCAATTTATCAACATCTCAACACTGCCAAAGCTTATTGCCTGCCGGAAAACAAATAACCTTCTCACCAGGCTCTTCCAATGCGTCAAAGTTTTGATTCGAGTGCGAGCACAGGCTCAGAGTCACCAGACGTTTTTTTCGTGGGCTATCAACCCTTGAGATGGACAACCGACAAGAATGCGGGCCCAAGCCAATATGTTCTTCCTCACAACAGACTCTAGGCTCGCCAAACCTTGATTAAGGCAAGTTATGCTAACAGACCGGTACAGTTCTCGAACTACCATAATACACAATGATGCATAGTGTGCATAAAACTCGTGCTCAAGCATCCATGGAAGCTACCCATCCAATTCAAAGATTTCTACATAAACCGCATCGCTGGTTTTTCACACCTGTTGACTTATTCATTATATGGGTGGTTCCATGTACCCCATAATAACCTTCACCAAAAAAGTGATGAGAAGAGAATGTAGTGAACTGCTGTGGGGAATTTGGGCTATCGAACACACCAAACAGGAAAATAAACCGACGTCTGTCTTCTTAAGTTGCTTTAGATCATCTAGACCGTGAGTGAATCTGGCGTTGACTGCTATCCGTGTTATTGATGCAATAACAAAACGACGAAAGCATATTTCTTCCAAATGGGCAGATTTCATAGCTAGAGACATGCTGAGAGAGGATTATACCGTGCACTCCATTAACATTCATTGACTTGGAAAATCGGCGTCTGCTTCTGATGTCACGACAAGGAATCTTAAATAACGGAAGTTGATATCAAAACTTTACCCATTTGAGGGGATGTGTTATAAGGGGAACGAAAATCGGAAGCTACCTTTAGCTGAAGAACTGTGAATTTTTAGGGGATTAAGGGTGGATTTACGGAAAGACGAAGAAAATAATAATCTTTTGCAAAGTAGACACTAATAATCGATCTTCATACAACCAAGGGCCAATTACTGTCTGTGCAAAATGTAATTAATTGTCGTCTCGCAACCAAATACCGAGCTTGAAAGAACGTGAATAGATTCCTAAAAATCATCAATCCTGCTGATTTGGCAAAGTCTTGGGCGCGGCTAAGTGGTAAAAGGTTGAGACTGATGTTTCATGCTTCCTAACTCATGCTTCAAGTATACTAAAGTGCTATGAAAGAATGCTGCTTATGTTGGTATGGCTATCGCATCAGCACTTGTTACATATTCAAGCAATCTCAGCTCAAACCATAAGGAGCTTTCATGGACCTTATGTAAGTAGATGGATATAACTCGTACATTATTAGAAGCAACCCTAAACACTATGTTCCGAACTCAAATTATTCTTCAATGTTTTCCTATACTCAAGAGTGAGTGTTGAGCAATAAAACAAACAATCAGAATAATAACCTATCTTAATACTATTGAACGTGGAGAATGGAAAGAGATTTAAGCTTTTATATAATATAAAATACACTCATACTTCACCTGCATTTGATGTGATACGACGAGATAACTTTTGAAAACTTTAAGAAAATTTACCTATATATACGTTATTGACGTGAAGATTTTCATCTTCGGAAGTTGAGATCATCCGATTTCCGGTTCACTAAGCGCCGATGGTTTAGTGGTAAAATTCTCCGTTGCCATCAAGCAGCGTCGGGGAGCCGGGGGTTCGATTCCCCCTCGGCGCATAACTTTTGCCTTTAGACAGAATTTTTGTTCCCCATGTTTGAATGCCGTTGACATTTGAAGTATTGAGTATTTTCTCTCTGTTTTCTTTTACATACTGCTTAGCGGGCCACCTTTTACTATTCATCTTCGCTTGACATGCAAGGTCAATATTACAGACGAAGGAATGGGCCAACCGTAAACCGAGAAACATCCCTTCTTTAAAAATCGTTATAGAATATCCAGAGATATTGGAGGCCTACGTGATACTTGATAGTTAGTTTATTAACGTGAACATGGATATTCGGTTGTTATTGGATTGAATCCCTCCTTAGTATCGGACTCCTTTAGAATCCCGAGACCTGGTCTGACGCCGATAGCAGCCGCGCTTGTTCTTGTTTGCTTTGCTGCAATATTCCCAATGGGATATCTTCTTTGGCAACCCTTTGCCCCGGAAGCTTAGTTGGCGGTTGTAAACTTTCTCGCCAGTTCTGGGCTTCGGAAATAGCGAGATTATGATTACAGGCTTTAACGGAGACAACCACTCACGTTACAACGGACACGAAAGAAAACGACGTTAGAGTTACGTTTTAGCTTCAGTTAGCCTTCATTCAAGCTCGGGGCCACATTAGGACCACCTCACCTGGGCAATATGGGGTTAAGATGTAACAGTGTTCAGTTTTGACAAGAAGCTTGTTGGTGCAGCTCATGGCGCGAGCAGGCGTTACACGAGCCATTGATTTGCTTCTACACACCTGCCCCTGCACCGTCTCTGCATTTGACGATGCTCCTGTTCACATTATTTTCGACAGGGAACGGCTATCGCGCTGTATTCAGCCCAGCCAACCCTGGAAAGGGTGGTGTTAGTTGACACAGCCTGGTTCCTTGCAGCCCTGTTCACAGATCCCTGTCTTACACTAGGCAAGGCGGGGAATTCCTCAGAAGTGCCAGCTTTTTCAATGGGGAAAAAGCCGCCTAAATCCAACCCTGAAGGTTGCAGCCCTTGATCGTAACAGTCTTGGAATCCGCCGCATGAAGTCGTTTCTTGAACGAAAAAAATGTCCGAGCTTGCAGCTTGCGCCTGCTCGGGCAGCCAGTATTCGGCTCCTATGTCCGGCGGCCGGTAGTCCCGGTCCGACGCTCAGGCCCCCATTACAAGGCCAGAATTGCCAAACCCACTCCAGCCCCAGCTAAAGTTCACATGTGCAGCAGTCAGACCAGGATTATCAGCTTTCTGATCACGCACAAGAGAGTTCGTCTTCTAAAAAGTGGACAATCGTGGGCGCTTTGACCGGAGATGAGAGAGGCTTGCTCCATCCAACGCCCGAGTCTCCTTGTCAAGGGGATAAGATCATCATTGAGGGGCTCTGCCCAGGGTATCACATGGGTGAAGTAGAGGAATAGGGGATAAACAGGCTCTTCATAATCATGTTCTATCGTTACAATTGACTAATTGACTAATAGCAGCGCAAAAAGGGCTGAACAGGCCAGTGCTGGTCTCCTCTGCCCGGGTATCTGATGGCGTGCGCTTTTGTATGAGGCTCGCTCCCCAACACCGTTGCATTGCGTGTATAAGCTTCCCCTCCGAAGCTGCGTGTTCTTAACTTTGACAGGTTCCACTCGTAATGGCGGGTTCCACTCATAATGGGGATTGCTTTTTTGTTCTCCCGGCGGATGCGTCGCTATCGGCGTCCTCCTCCGAAATCCAGAACTCTGTTCTTTTCTGGATGCCTGGCTCTAACGGGATATCGCTGTGATCGCTCTTGGAGACCGATGGTCGCCGGTCCGAGTGGATGTATGTGTCAGAAGCGCTAGTGCCGGCTTGGTCGCCGCGTAGCCTGCTGTTTAGGTAGGCAGATCGTGATTGGGAGTTTGCATACGAATTCGCGTAGTTGGAGGGATGCGATGGTGGTTGTTTCTCGCCGAAGAAAAAGAAATAAATCGATCTCGAAAGCGCAAGGTTTCCTGCAATGATTCCGAGGTAAAGTTCGAGGTTGGACCAGATGGCGGTTACTGCATAGACATCTGAACATAGAAATGGTTAGCCATTGTACTACTAAAGGCATTGTTAAAGACTTACAACTCAAGTCGCTCGTAACGAGACCAAGTGACGATGCTCTTGCAATTCCGAATCCGGTGGCACTGTTTGACAGTTAGAATCGTCCTGTGGATGTCGATAGCCAAGTACTCACATCAGTCCCATACTCATTAGCCCACCAACCGATAACTTTGTCGACATGGGAATCCGGACTTGCCAGACAACTGCCAAAGGCAACAACGAGCAAAGCAAATCGGTCAATACGGAGTAAGCTGGGCACCGTCAGTTACGTTCTTATGATGAATATGGAAGTATCAGAAACTCACAAATAGTCAAGTAGATGGCGTAAATCCGAATTTTGGCATCCCAGCACTTGCCAACTCCTGTCCAGTAGGCCTCAACGGGATCGCACTCTGCCAGCAAAATGATGATGACGCCGAAGTTGGTGACGACTAGGCCACCCATGACTCCCCAGAGGAAATATTTCAACTTGCTGGAATTCTTGATGCGCAGGATCAACAACATGATTGAGCATTTCAGCAAGCAGACGCTGGAGAAGAGAAGAATCTGCGCGAACCAGCCAAGCATGTTGTTTTTGACGTATTCCTCTTTCGTGATGTACCATCTATGCCTCCCATTACCGGTTGCGCTCTGGCCGCATTGAACTCCGAATCTGATGATGCCGAGGCAGGCTGTGACAGCCATGACATAGTCGTCCCATCCTGAGTGCCGTAGAGAGAATCGTACGTACAGTCGCAGTGCCGTAGTCAGAATAATGAAGAAAATGAGAACGCCGGAGATGCCCAAAAGAACAGGGCTGACATTGTCATCCGGCGGCAACGGATTTGGAGGCACAACGGGCGCCATCCTCTTCCACGATGAAGAGAAGAACGAAAGTTGTGACGGGCCAGGTCAGGCCTGGTAAGTTTGGAAACCAGCAAAGAAGCGTTGAAAGGCTTCCTGTGCGGCCGGGAACTGGGTTATGCAATGCTGATAGCGGTGTTAAATTAAGATGGGGGTGGAAAAAAGGGTCCACGGTGGTTCTTGGTCTGCACGGGGCAAAAGGGACTGACGATCTCCCAGATCTGCTATGGGATGACAGGTCGTTTCCTCCAGACTTTAAAGAAACACCACGAGGAAAGACTGAGGCAAGGGATGAACCAAAAGAATGTAAGAATATCTGTGAGAGACCCAATGGGAATGAATCTTACAAGATTCCGATGCAAGTAATCCTTTTAGGACACAGAGGAGGTCAAGGCACCTGCAAGAAGGGCGAGGTGTAACCTGTTCAGCCTGCTTTTTTTTCGAAAAGGGTGGCAACGATCCTTGAGTTTTGTTACACTATGATCTTTCGGTAACAGATCATAGCTAGACTCCTTTCGGTGCTTGTATCATGTCGAAAGTAGTATTGCCTATCAGCAATGCTCAATTGTGCAATGGCTGCTAGCGAAATATCGACATTGCTTGGCGTTGTAAGCCGTCCTGCGTGAAAGCCAGCAATTTTCGACGGATAGAAGATACCCTTGGAGATAGAAGACCCGAGTCTCGTATTGTGAAAAGCCGTAAAGCAATACTGGCTGAAGTTGCGCTCTCTCTCTCAACCTTTCAGTTACCATTTGAGTTTAAGTGGCTTCCGTACCCTGCCGCAATACGTTGGCTTTTGCTGAAGAAAACTCGGTCCAAACCCTGGAAGTGTGGATTCCCCCTGCGCCGCAGCTGCACATTTGACAGGGACGACGGAACGTGGGCTGTCTCGTTACCTACATGCCCAGCATGCGCTGCCAGGGGTGAGATGATTTCTAGAATGGTGGATTTCGCCGACATGGCGAGGCATGGCTTGTGAAGCTGATTTAAGTCACGTCGATGTAGATCAAGTTCCTGTACATCGTGTAGGTTGTGCGTTAGCTCAAACGAACGTTTGTAAGCAAGAGGGTGATCTTCCAGGCCCTGATTGGGAAGCGAAGTTGATGAATGTTAGAATGATCAAGCTATCACTCAACCGTTCAACTGAAAACATTGAATAAGCAGAGATTTCGGGAGAAAGAGTTGCAGCTGGCATTGATGCAAGCCAATTCTACGAACAACATGGGCATCTAAGGAGGTCCTAGTGTGGTCGTGGGGGTGGTTGAGCTTTCATTATGTACATGATAACCGAATCTAGACCCGAAAACCCCGCTGTCAGTTGGACGGGGATTATTGTGGAAATATTGTGGGATTGCTCATTATTTACTAAGGCGGATGATTTGTCCAGACGAGGACAAGTCGAATCATCGAATGGGCCCTTGCAGGGAGACCCCGAGTCATGAACCCTACCCCTAGGCTACACCTTACCAGGCCGCATCCGCACTGGATTCGACGTCAATGGTACGGTAACATTCCCTGGCACAGCCAACGTGCGAGGCGAGGGGGTCTTGTTCAGCCCGAGCAGTTAAGCCGGCCAGGCTGATCTCTTCACTCTTCCATCTTGTGTCTTTCTTCTTGCTTATTGTGGTAAGTAACTCGCGCTACTTCTCATAGTCGATAGTGCCTTAGTGCCTATCCATGGTCGGCTCCGGCCCGGTTCGGTAACGCTGATATGCCACTCTCTTCCTTACCGTTCTCTGCGTGCGATGTATAAATATCGGGATGCCCAGCACCCCCACCCCTTTTGGCCCCCGGCGCTGTTGAACTTGGCAGGCCGCGCGACTTGGGGCGGAGACTAGGATATTTTCTGGACCACCTGATTACGATCGTTATAATTTTAAGGGCGACATGGCCCATGGGGTCATAATATCCGCATTATCAGAGGGCGACTTTCACTTGCTCTTCTGCGGGACGTACAAAAAGGTGGCGCTCGGCCCTTTGGACTCTGTGTATAGTGAATAGACAAGGCCTGCCATCGCCCCTCCAGCCAGCGTGTCATCCGGGAGCCTGTTGTTTTTCTAGAGGCCTGACGTGCAGATATCGCGCACATCAGTTGGAGACTTTGCTTTTCTTTCGCGATTCAAGTCGTAGGGCAGAAGATTCTCAAACCTTATTCTTGATCTAACTGTGGTAAAGATCGCTGCAAATCGTCTTAGCCATGCTTGTCAAACAAAGCCTCGCCCTCGTGGCTTTAGCGGCTCACACCATCGCGGCGCCTTGTGGAGGCAAGACGTATGATTATGTAAGTACAAATCATTTACTTTTTACATTAGCTCTTTAGTTGGGGGCTTTTTTTTGTTATTTATTTAAATTCGTTTTCGCTTCCTCCTCGGACTATAAATTATGATACGCTGACGCCTCCTATCAGGTCGTTGTAGGTGGCGGCACCGCGGGTGTGGCCGTGGCGGCGCGGCTGAGTGAGGGTCTTCCTGACTCGAAAATTCTTTTGATCGAGGCAGGCCCTGCTGCATGGGATGAGCCGAAGATCAATGTCCCTGGCATGAAGGGCTCAACACTGGCAACAAAGTACGACTGGAACTTCACCACCGTGCCGCAGCCCCATGTCAACAACCGTGTCTTCACCGTCAACCGCGGTAAGGTCCTCGGAGGCAGTTCCGCCCTCAACCTCATGTCCTATGACCGGTCTGCTGCCAATGAGTATGACAGCTGGGAGGCACTCGGCAACCCTGGATGGAACTGGGATACCATGATTGCCGCCATGAAGAAGTCCGAGAACTTTACTGGCATTAACACCGACACCTACGGCTCCGAGGGTGTCGGAGACAGCGGCCCGGTCAAGGCTGTCATCAACCGGATTATTCCCAAGCACCAGGACTCTTGGATCCCGACGATGAATGCTCTGGGTATCAAGACTAACTTGGAATCTCTTGGCGGAAACCCCCTGGGAGTTATGTACCAGCCCAGCAGCATCGACGCCACGCATTACAACCGCTCCTACAGTGCCAACGCCTATGTCCCCATTGCCGGATCCAACTTGGAGATCTTGTCTGAAACCATAGTTACAAAGATCAACCTGCAGAAGGTGGGTGATGAGCAACAGGCAACTGGAGTCACCCTCCAGAATGGAACGGTCATCAACGCCAGAAGGGAAGTGATCATCTCTGCTGGCACCATCCAGAGCCCTGGCCTCCTTGAGCTGTCTGGCATTGGCCAGGCTTCGGTTCTTGAATCTTCCGGCGTCGAGCAGGTCATTGACCTCCCCGGTGTCGGCGAGAACCTGCAAGACCACCTTCGCATTCAGAGCTCTTACCAGCTGAAGCCCGAGTTCACCTCCTTCGATATCCTGCGAAGCAACGCCACCTTCGCCGCTGAACAGCTGGCTCTCTGGAACGCAGGCGAAGTCTCCCTGTACGATTATACCGGCAGCGGCTACACTTTTACCACCTGGGCCCAGGCCCTCGGCAACGATTCCCGAATGGTAGCCCTTGCCAAGGAGGCCGCTAGTCAGGACCCCAGCAAGGTGGACCAGAAGAAGCTAGAGTTCTTGTCTGACCCGAGCATCCCTCAGCTGGAAGTCATTTTCTCCGATGGCTATACCGGCGTTAAGGGGTACCCCTCCTCCACTTCGCCGCTGTTCGGCAAGGGCTTCGTCACCCTCATCGCGGCCATCATGCATCCCATGAGCCGTGGTAACATTCACATCAACCCTGCCGACAAGACGGGAAAGCCCGTGATCAACCCCAACTACTTCGCCCATGAGCACGATCTTGAGGCCGCCATTCAGGCTATCAAGTACTGCCGAAAGATCGCCACCACTGAGCCCATGAAGTCTATCTGGGAGAACGAGTATGAGCCTGGTTTGGATGTTGTCCAGACCGACGCACAGTGGAGGCAGTTTGCCCTCAACACCACGCTCAGCATCTTCCACCCCGTCGGAACCTGCTCAATGCTGCCCAAGGAAGATGGAGGCGTAGTCGACTCTAACCTGAAGGTCTACGGCACATCAAACTTGCGTGTTGTCGATGCCAGCGTTATCCCTCTTCTCATTTCTGCCCACGTCCAGACAGCCGTGTATGGTATTGCTGAGATTGCGGCTGAACGCATTATTGCTGATGCTAAGCAGTAAATAGTTTCAAAGTAGAACTTTCTCTTACTTTGGCACAATAGAATCTCATTGTATCATTAATCCGTCAACCCTTTTATTTGTTATCATGGCTTTTTCTAATGGGCAATCCTACTCGAGAGAAGTTTAAAGGTACTGCTGGGTACGATTAGAGTAGTAGTAAAGTAGCTTTCGCAGAAAGGTGGCCGTGTTCTAGATGCACGGGCCGCTGTAACAACAGAAATAGAGGAAAATTCAATAGTCATAATCAATACTTCATTCAACCTTTAATTGCCGTGTAAAACATCAATCACGTGTAAGATGCGAGCACTCGAAACTCGCAAAATTCATGCAACCAAATCAAGACTGTGTCTTATCCATTTGACCGAGCACATGGTCATCTTGTTATATGTAAGAAGAATGCCGAACCCATTCTTGCTTTGACTATTTACGTGTGACCCGGAGTAGATAGTAATGCTTTCAGTCATGTAACCTCAACATATCCCAGACCTGGTCAGTGGCAAACGCCAGTCTCTTTGTGGTGAACTTGCTCATAAATGCACACAAATCATGAGTTCAATTCCATATGCAGAGCTCTTTTGATACTAGTTGATCTAATAAGACTGGATTGCCAAATATTTTTTACTAGCGTCAAATACAAACGGCCATGGAGAAATGGATGTCACAGGAGTACAGGTATGCAGACTTTGTGGCATCTAAGCACACTCCAAAACCACATTGCAGTTATCAGAAGGCAAAGGGATAAAGAATAAGTAACTTGGTTTGTCGTATCTTCAATGGCATTAAACACAGCGTGATAGAGAGACAAACGAGAGCAACACCATTGATGTGGGACATGGAGGGTTCTTGTAGATACAAAGTGAAAGCGGGTAGAAAGATAAGACGAACTAGACTATCTGGTTTCGTTTGGCATATCGTAGAACCCCATCTGATATCGTTCAGTTTTTGCTCCTTGAAGAAACATAACATACATCTGAGACAAGCATCAGCTTGTAAAGTGCCCTTCGTAAATTTGTTCCAAGTTACAATATAGTTTAGATTGTGATTTAGACTAATTTATGTGGCTGTTGTGGTTGGGGTCACAGGTTACCCGTATAGTGGAATATCCTTCTCAAGGGAGAAGCTGGTGTTGACTCTTGTGGCTAATCTCTCGGAAGAAGTTCCTGCAGAAATGCTGGCTGAAATGACCGCGGAGCTGCTCGCCACGTGGGCAGCCGGCAGCCGACAGGCTTGCCGGGGACGGAGTCAATCCAAACAGGAATTCTGGCTATTGCAACAGTTATACAACATTTTCCGACAGGCTCGTTGCTGGTTTTCTATGATGTCGCCCCTATTCTGTATACTCTCACACTTTTACAGCTGGATATGGGGTTTACAGTTTGTAGACTTAGTGTTGAAGATGCTAAAGCCTGCGAACTTCAGCCTTGTTTTCGATTCTAATGGAACGAAGCTAAGCAAGGGCATGACATGTTCTGGTTTACTCGGATAGTAACAAATCTTTTCTTGGCCTCTTTGCGTAATAATCATTGCCATAGGCTTAAGGAATCTCACAGAAGTCACTACTTCATCATGTCAAAGTTCACAGTCAAGGGCATAGGTAAGATGGAACTTGAATTGAAATGCTTTATTTACGGAAGAAAATTTTATACAGAGCTAAGGAAGCATATACGTCGAAATGATTCGAGAATTCACCATGTATCCCAGACTGGCACCTAAGCACCAATGTCCACTCAGCACTTGAGCGTCACTAGTCTAGTGCAGGTGGGCGCGGCGCCTGAAGCGAATGGGCTGGCGAGCAGAACGCTTCGTAGAGCGAGCGCACTTCTCAGGGGCCGGAGCGGTAGAGTTACCGGATCCGCTGACCTTGAAGGCAGCGATCTTCTCGGCAGCGTGCTCGGCCGTGATCATAATGATGGACTGGGTGTTACCGGTGGGAAGGTCGGGGTGGATGGAGGCATCAACAACGAAGAGGTTGTCAGTGCCGTAGACCTTGGTGTCAAGGTCAACCACAGCGGTACCGTTGCCCTGGCGGCCGTCATCGACACCCATCTTGGCGCTGCCAACCCAGTGGTCACCAGAGATCATCTTGGTGCCAATGATATCGTCGGGGGTGGCGCCAGGAGTAACGTACTTGAGAGTCGAGTTGCTACCGCTGGTGAGGTCGAGCCACCACTGGACGAAGTCAGACATCGCCTTGCGGTCCTCGGCGTCGATGAGCCAGGGCTTGGTGTTGAGGACAGTGTTTCCCGAGGCGGTGATACCGAGCTCACCAACGGTCGAGGTACCGTGGGTAAGGAAGGTACGGACGGTGATGACACCGCTCGCCATGGCGCTAGCGGTACCCTGGAGGTAGCGAGTTCGGCCGTCAGCGCCCTCAGCAGAGGTCCAGAGGTGCATGCGCTGGGCAGCCTGGGTGATGGGGCCAGAGCCTTCCTTGTAAAGGGTCAGATCGGAGGGCACAGGGTTGCTGGCGATGGCGTTGAAACCGTAGGCGGTGAAGTTGGTGTTGGCGTTGAACTGGAGCATAACCTGGGCGTGGTCCTGGAGGTGGTGACCGACGGGGAGGTCAATCCAGTCAGCCTGGTCGGGGAGAGTGACACCAGTCTTGGAGGCACCCTCCTGGACGATGGCAAGGGCATCAGAACGGCCAATACCAGAGTTCCAGAGGATACGGGGAGAAGACATGGCACCGGCGGCGAGAACGACCTTACCGCCCTTGTTGACCTTAATGATCTGGGTGCTGCCGTCGGCAGCCTGGGTGAGAACACCGGTGATGGTGCTGCCGGTACGGATAACCTGAATCACCTTGGTCTCAAGCTTGAGGGTGAAGTTGGGAAGCTGCTGGGCAAAGGGCATGTAGGTGCGGGCAGGGCCAGCGCGGAGGTTGTTCTTGATAGACCAAGAGGGGCGGGAGTAGACAGCCTTCTTCTCGTTGGGAGACTCAATGGAGTCAACCTCAGTCCATCCCTTGGAGCTCAGAAGGCCGGAGAGGACCTTGTAGGCGTGGTCATCATAGTACTTGCCGTCGTTGGAGGGTTCGGTGGTGCCAGGGTTACGCTCGTAAAGGCGGTCAGCAGCCTTGGAGACATCGGCCCAGTTCCAGCCCTTGGGCCAGCGCTGCCAGTCGTGCTCGGGAGGGTGAATGAAGTTGAGACCGTTGATAGAGCTGGAGCCGCCCAGCAGGCAGCCGGCAGTAGAAGCAGTGTCACTACAGAGCTTGATACCAGACAGAGAAGTCATGGAGCTTCCAAGAGCAGGAATATCATAAGGAGTCAAGGTGTCGTTCCAGGGGAGAGCGAGGTTAGAACCCAAGGCGACAGTGTTGGCGGGGCCACGCTCAATAAGCAGAACGCTGGCACCAGTCTCGGCAATACGCTCAGCGGCAATGATACCAGCGGGACCGCCACCGACAACGATCACATCGTAGGTGGTGTTGGAGGTGGTGGGAGGGGTGACGGTGCCGTTACCAGGGACAGGAGTAGTGGTGCCATTGCCAGGGACGGGAGCAGCGTCGACGGCCTTGGCGTACTTGGACCATTCCTCAAACTTGGCAGACTTGGCGGCAGCAATGTCAAGACCGAACTGACCGAATCCAGCAGAGTGGTAGTTGAGGGCGCTGGAAGGGTCGGAGGGAGTGGTAGGGCTGGTGTCGGAGAAAGCCCAGCCGAGAATGGGAGACTCGCCGGTCAAAGTTGTCTTGTCCGCGATGACGCAGCCCTCACAAAGGAAAGTGTACGAGAAGTGAGTGCTGTTGACGAAAGTACCGTTGGCTATGGGAGTCGCGGTGACCTTGGTAGCTGTGTAGACGTCGGGGTTGGAATAGGCACTACCCATTCTGAAGGAAGTCTTGATATCCTCGCCGTCGGCCCAAGCAACAAACAGGAGACTGTTCAACATGCCTCCCTTGAGTGAGACTGCACCCCAGTTGCCCTTCTCCGAAATGGGCACAACCATCTGACCGATGAAGTCGGTACCGGTCGTCTCGGGAACGGCGATACCGAAGCTGTAAGGGTAGCTGTCGGGCTTGTATCGCTGGAAATCGATGCCGGTCTGGGGGTCAGTGTAAGCCACAGCACGGAGCTGGGCTGAGACGGATCCAGCGAACCCGAGAAGGGCCGCGACTCCTGAAAGTGTGCAGCGCATTTTGAAAATTGCTTGAATGTCTCTTTTGATCTCGAAGTTTTGACGGAATGAGTTGAAGGAGTGGCTTGGAAGTTGTCCAAAAAGTGAGTGAATGTAAGGTTATGGTGAGAGAAAGAACGTTAACCGCTAGGGTCAACAAGTTTGTGAAAAGAATGACAAAAACACCGTACTAGCGGTGACTCGAAAAGAGAAGGAATACAGCAATGATGCGGCTCAAGGACCAAAGGGAAGAGAAGAGAGAGAGAAAGTTGCGAAACGACAGAGTTTCTGGCGTTGATATTATATCCTCTCTCTGTTCCTCCTTTGGTCCGTCTAGAATGCTACACTTACACAATGAGGAAACTCGCCCCACTCAAGCAAGTTTCCTTAATCTCAAGTTGCCAAAGGGGTGCATACCGATAGGCGGGGATCTGCGAGCGTCACAACAAGGGGCAACAGATTCTCCGTGTTGGTCTCGGTCTTCGGCAGACCCGCTCCACCCTGGGATGTGCATCCTTGGGATCGCTAGATTGTTTGAAATAAACTTGTCAGTTATCTTCAGCCAAGCGCACCAACGGCGCGTGCTAGCGGGCCGTTTCAAATAAGAATCCTACCATTGGCCGAGGGGCTTGACAAGGGCTTCGCCGCATCTGTAGACGGCCTCTCCTGATGACGTGCAAAATAATCTGGCGCCTTGTTTTATCTACATGTGAGAACCCACCCGAATCATCGGTAAGCCTGCAGGTCGAACGACTGCCTCTCTATTGGCTTCTGGGCCTTGCGTCCAAGCATCCTGTCTTGGTTTTCCATTTGTTAAACCACTCGATATGTTCGGATGAACTGCCGAGAAGGGGCCTCAGCCGAGCGGGTAGCGGGACGGAGATGAACCTTGAGGCGGCTGATGTGATTGATCCTTTTTCCAAGTATGCAGGGGGGTGGCATAGGAGCGTAGTGACAACTTGACATGCCAAGAATCGTACGGTCTAGGTCTACAATGACAATTTCTTCTTCTTCTTCCTCACAAGCATGGCAAAGTTGTGCCGCTTTGCCGTTCATCTGCCGTGATTGATTGATCTTTGATCAAAAAAGCTCCTAGCTTCGATGACAAGATTGTTTAGTCGGTATTACAAAAGCAAACGTTAATGCTGAATCATTGAGTCCAATGACAACATGATTCACTGTACTCGAGACCTCTAACAACTTCAGGTAACTATTCCCCATGTGAGGCCCACAATTACCCCTTATAAGCTGGAACATCATCTTCTTTATTGGCGGAAATGTTTGCGTTTATTAAACGTGGAGCATGGATACATACATACAATGCAAAGTTAATGTTGGCTGTGCGCCCCAAAACGCTCAAAACCCCTCATCATGTTTGCTTGAGACCAGTTTTTCTCATGAGTGACAGAATCTCGGCTGCATCTATTTGCCCGACCCTGTCAATTCAGCCTCGCCCCTTGCGTGCGTATCACTGATAGATGTCTTTTAATCTCTTGAGGTAGCATTGCCAATCCTAATTTTATCCTTGGGCCCTCATCAGGTTCATACAGCACCCTTTAGCTAGGGTACGTGGGAAGAAAAAGACAACAAGCATGTGAATTTAAAAATTTTGCTGCTTTCCATTTTAAACCCCCACAAAGCAGCAAAAAGAAGTTTCTCTCATCAGAACTTGAGAGCTGACTCCAGTGGATCCGTAACTAATCGCTGCAATCTGTTGCACGTGTCAATACCTTACCTTCCAGTTGGCAAGATACCAGAGACATGGCAATAGCACTGGTAGAGAGTGATGAAAGCCGTCAAGGATGGCTGCTGAGCTATGCCTATAGTCCAGACACACCGCAGACTAGTTAGCGGCATAACCAGGTATCAATAGCTAGCTAATCCATGCAATTCTAACAACGATCTATCCTGAAGGTTGCCGTGCATATGAGCGACGACGATCAATTCGAGCGTACAGAGTCATGCACAAAGAGTCGATCCCCTCAACGGCCCGCAAGCCAGTCATCGCACGGTCAATTAACAGGCTACGGTAGCTATTAACCCCAGAACTAAACATGGTAAGCAAGAAAAAAGTTTAAATGATCAAAAAAAAAAAGATCACAGGGATCTCCATAGCTGCCCGGACCACGAAAAATGATCAGCATGTTTAGCTGCGGATGGCTTTAAGCCCACTTACTATCAAGTGACTTCACCAGTAATTGCTCCCATCATCAATTTAAACCCTAGTACCTGAAACAACTTCGATTGCATCCTGCATGCCCGCGCCAATCGAACTAGTTTAGATCATCAAAATTAAAGAGTTATATTGCACGAATGGGTACAGAACCGAGACTGACAAGGCCCAGCAGCGCGAATTTTGTATCACAGTAAGCCTAAACGCGAATCCAAGTGATGTATGGTTGATGCGTAAACAGAGAATCAAACAAATCTTTACTCTGCTGTTGATAAGTTCCTGACTGAAGATAAAGCCGTTCTGGTTCCTGCAATGCATAGTCAAAGTTGTCTCTGTACACAAACAGCCCGATGCACTGTCTCTGAATTGTTTTAGGATTAAGCGAATTTTTCGCGAGAAACAAATGTTTGCTTAACAGGGTTACAATAATGCCAAGAAATGCCTGACGAGGTTATTCCTCTCTCCCAAGGAGCTCTGGATTGAACTCAAGTGCCATCCACACGTCAATGTTCTTACCGCCACCGGCTTTCCACTTATGCCAGGGGTAGGCAATAACATTGTTTTCTCCACGGATTGCATTTCCATAAGAGTCCCTGTACCACAAGCCACCGTGCTCGTATAGACGAGGTAGTGGAAGTTTATCGAAATCGTCTGCTTCTGCGGACTTGGGATCTTTACCTTCCTTAAGTCGCCACATACCGCCATTACCGCTGCCAGGAGAAAGGCACACGTGTATCTCCTGGAAAATATTGTCACTGTGATTGTGAATGCCGCAGTCAACCTTGGGACCTAATTCCTCGATTAGCCAACACGCCCAAACATTGCCCAAGAACTCATGGCAATCGAGCCACTTACCAGCCGTCCAGAATTGCATGTGGGCAATCTGGGTTTTGTCGTCCTGGAATCTGAAGTAAAATCCGGATAGGTTTGTAAAGTCGACGCCTTCAAACTTGGAGCCCCACCAGAGCTTCTCGACTTTGGTAAATTTAAGATCGGGGAATTCCAGTCCAAGGTCGTTCGTCTTGAAGGTGGTTTTAACAGGGACGTCCTCGGCCTTCTCCCACTCGCCTGCTTCTTCGATTGGCACGATTCTCAACAGAATGGCGCCTTTCTGCTTGTCGGCACTGAATATCTTGTCATCGCTGGTAACCGGGCCAATGCGTGGAAAAGGTGGAAGGCTGTTGGCTGAGCGAGTGCCTTCGATGTCCGCAACAGTGCCATACAAAACTTTGATACCTTCATTATGACCAATGGGAATCTTCGCACCAGGCTCATGAACCTCTACGCTGATTGCATAATTGGCAACCTCGATGAGTGGAAGAGATTGCATGGCAATGCCCTTCTCGGGGCGAGCAAGGTACACCATGCCTTCATTGTCCCAGACTGTAGGCACAATGCTACGCTGGGTGACAGACGGTTTTGGCTTGGCAAATTCGTTGAGGTGAAGAGTAATCACTGGCTTAGGCTCCTCGTAGTACCGTGGGACATTGTACTCTACCGATACAAGATCGATCCTACCGTTACCGGTGAAATCGCTAAAAATGGTCAGCAAATGTAGTGTGTAGTAGTGTCGTGACAAAACTTGTGTTGAAACGCACCCGATGGCAATGCGAGCGGAAGACTCTTCCGCGATCTTCCATTTAGCGAAGAGACCACGCTCAACGTCGATCGGCTTGTAATACATGATTCCCTGCACCAAATTAGTCACCATGTCCTGTAAGAGAACTACGGGATTGGCATACCTTGTTTGGGTTAGGGCCTTTGTCGGGCTGGATTTTGTTTAGAATGAGCAACTTCTCGTCATGTGGAGGTTTTGAAAGCACATACTGGGATAGACTGCAAATCTTTATCGCGGTTTAGCGAGCCAAATAGGGCAAGCAGAAACTCATCGTCGCCGTCACCTATCATCGGGGTCTATATTAGCAAGCTGGGATATACGTGTGCGAGCAGCTCCGTTGAGGGACTCAACTCACCATCGAAGTCGGCACAGACGATGTAGTGACCAGGGCCATCGCCATATTTCTTAAGCTGGTTAGGCGTTCCGTAGATATCCAAGATGTGTCGCTGCCACTTAGAGTCCTTCATACCGCGACCGACTTTTGAAAGCACACAGGCAGTCGTACCGTGAAAAGGGTCCAGGGTGGCGATGTATGCAAAAGGGTCATCGCCAATTTGTCCCGCATCGGCACACCCAGTTCCCCAGTGATCGCCAGATCCCGGAGACTGTGAGTTGGGTAGTTGGCGGTCCTCCTTGGGCTCACCAATAGAGAGGAGCTGCCGATGCCAGGCACCATTTTCGAAATACAGCCAAGTTGCACCCTCACGGGACGAGACGATCATAGAGTCGAGACCTGTCGGTCCGTTGAACCTGGAATGCATGTCAGATTTGCTTTCTATCGCGGCGAACAAATGATTCGGGTAACTTACTTCTTGATTGTGAGCTCGTGAATAACAGTAAAGTTTTCGTCATCGATGATTGAGCGTTCCCACTCAGCCCTGTAAAGTATAAGTATAGTAAACAAAGAGAAACAGTCAATTAATGGTTATTTACGCTTCAAGGAATTTTTCTGGAGCTTGGAACCGAATAATGGGAATGGGCGTAACCTAAGTCATGACGTTATCAGTACCGTATACAGAGCCAAACCAGCGGTCAGGGATTACATACTTTGTCGTGCGCTCCACGAACTACCGACGCTGCAACAATTTCCATGACGGATCTGCCATTGACGATATAAATCAACGTGCAAACCACGGATGCGTGTTGAAAACTCACCTCTGGGTAAAATAGCCAGCCTTGATCCGATGCATCGCTGGCCAGCGACCGATTATTCTCTGCTTCCACATGCCGTCTCCCAGCTTATCTCGACCAGGGTTTTCAAGCCACGAAATCCACCCGCCTTTCATGTTGCACTCCAACATGAATGGGCCATAATCATGGCAAACGACGACGTCTGTGAGACCATTGCCAGTGATGTCGACAGCAACGACAGCGACGGGACTGTCAAATTTTGCAATGAGATGTCTCTTCCAGTCTTATAGGTGGGGAGATTTAGCCATGGCGAAACCTTGGATTTTGAACACAACTTACGGCCAGAGACATTCACTGTCGATGGGTCGAATGTGCCACCATCCTCTTGCGCAGCATGCTTAGCAGCGGCAATAGGATTATCAAGGAACTCAACCTCTCCAGATGATAACCCGGATCTGGAAACCATTGGACATCAATAAAGAATAACTGTGACCGAATGAGAGCTTGTTGAATACGTACGCGATGAGACCAGGGACTTCACCCTTGCCAAACTTGAATGTTTCCACCCAGTAGCCGTCCTTTCTGTCGGACTCAATGACAGTACGGCCAAATGAGGGCACAGCAATGTTGGCCGAGGTCATTTTGATAGGTTCGCCTGTAGCACTGGAAATATATTGATAAGCTGCGATTACAGTATTGTAGAAGCGGGCGGGAATCAGCTTTGGCATTTATATATCCGACGACAATACTAAGGTTTTCTTGAACGAGAACGTGCTCGTATGTTGCCGGTTCAGCCCCTCCGAAGGAATCTGGACGAAAAGACCGGTGTTGGCCAAGCTTCTGTCCTTTGAAACTTGGTTCGACATGCGAAGCTTGGAATTTGTCAAAATGCTGGCGGGTACGCCACATGGCAGTCCCGAATTCCAATAAATCGCGTGTGTACCCTTCGGCCAAGATGGCGGGGTATAAGACATCGCACCATTTGCGTTTCTAAGTCAAGTAAGACCAAAGTCTGGTCAAGGTCTAGCACCCAAAAAGCTTCAGCTCAGCGCGCTTGCCCGTATCGGTGGAATTTGGTTCGTAACTCTTACATTTCGAAACATTGGTGGCATTTCTGGATTCACAATGGGGGTAGAGTTCTATGGTCAGTCCACGGCTTATGGAGAATATGCCGAGAATTGGAAGGAATCCGGAAGAAATTCTGTGATAAGGTTTGTCCTTGAAGGGGTATGGGGAAATTGTAGGTTTCACAGGGGGTGAAACGGAATTCCGTTCGTCAATAACAAATAACAGTAAATTGGTTCTAATCGATGGTTCATGATAGTTGAAAGTGGTGTTGTTGACTAGAAGGTGGGGATATTCCCCCTTGGCCTGTCACGTGGGTCTGGGAGGCTTGGGCCTCTCAGCCTGGCGGGCGTGTGGCTGGAAGTGCCACACGACTCCGTATTCCAACTATCGCAACACTGGAAACTCTCTTTTTATGGTGTTGAAGCGGTTGGAATACGTTGTCCTTATACAGTTCCGTCTCCTCGTTAATTCGGCCTCCTATCCCTACTTTCTCCTGTAGTTACGGTCTTGTTACCTATCCCTCTATACGTATCGTTATCGTGTTGCTATTAACGAATCTCTCGAGGGCTCGATTTAGTTTGCTCTTCGTGAGGGTATTAGCAGGGTTGTCTTCGCCGTTAATTTAACGAATTTCTTATAGTTCTCGTCTTTCATACGATTGTCTTAACGCTATGATATCGATCATAAGTCGCTTTTCTTTAGTAGTGCCTAGCTTTACGAGACACTCGTATAGCGAATAAGAATCGGTATAGATAACTGTCTGAATCGTTAGTAGGTTGAGGTAGTTAGTGATTATCGCTAGGGTTATGGCGAGGGCGTAGGCTATATCGACGCTAGCGACCATCCCGTAGATCTCTAATGCTAATACGCTGCGGGTGACTTGTTTACTCTTCGTAAAGCTATAATAAACGAGGTTACCGTAAATCGTAAATTCTCCGTTATTACTATTAGAGGAAGTATCGTTAGCTAGGATGATTAGAAACCCTAATTAGGAGGAAAGGTCGTAGTTATTAGCAAACAACCTGTTAACGAAAACGAATAGCTTAGCTATTATAAGGTCGAGTAGGATAAACGTTATTCCTCGGTTAGGCGATTCTATTTGCTATCGAATCCGTTGATTTAGTACTTTTATTACTTCTAGCGAAGGGTCTTAGTATTAGGCAGTAGTAGATAAATCGAAACAGGCCTCGGGTTAGCAAATTAACGCGATATACGCCCCTCTAGCGCGTTGTTCGATATATTGCTATTTTAGGTTAGGTTTAGTAGTCTTAATATATCGTAACTTCTTAGCTTGTCCCTTTTGCCTTAAATTAATCGAATTGTCGGTTAACAGCGCGATTATCCCTCTATTAAATTAGAAGGGTTTGTTAATTATAAGGATATTCTTCGCTTTTGCTATAAAAGCTGCTTTTTCTAACTATTCGTCTTCTAATTATAAGAACGCCTTGTCTAACAAACCGAGGGTATCGTCGGTTTGCATGCCGATATAGCCAAAGTATAGATTTTCGGTAGATAAGATTAATAGGTATAGATCGTACGAAGAAGTAACTATCTAGAGATTCTCTCTATAATGCTTATAATACGTTGCCTACTAATAGGTTCTAGCTTCTGCGATTCCGTACAGAGGCTTTACAACCTCTATAATAGTCCCTTTTAGGTACTAGTCTTGAATTTGCTTCGGTAGGTAGGCGAGAATAGTACGATTAAGCCTTATAGAGGATTAAACGTAGGCTTATATAATATCTCGAAGCTATAGTTATTTCCCTTCTCGTAGGAGTAATAAGGTAATTAATAGAATTAGCTATTAACTTGCCTGCTAAATCGTTAGCGATTAGGTTAATATAGCCTTCTTGCTATCGTCGGCGTAACCCTATATTATAAGTCTCGATTTCTCGTAGGGTTCGGTTGTTTTACCCTTGACTTCGTTAACGATACGAGATCGGAAGATTCGTACGTTCTAATGCCTTCTCTTATTAAACTAGGTAAATTTAAATACTCCTCTAGCAATAAGGCTATTAATCTCTTGTTTAGTTAACTATTCGAACGGTTTGCTTAGTATAGTAATAATACCTTCTCGTTATAGTTTGATTACTAATTCTTCGTCTACTTACTCCTTAATCGATAGGAATATTTATTAATAATCTAGGTTATTATTAAATTCCTTTGTAAAGTAGGCGATTAGTAGTAGTCTCTTCCAGGGTCTGCCTAGGCGTCTTCTCGGTAGCTCCGGTACTTCTTACGGTTCGTCCGGTTTACTACCTCCGCTAGCGACGATAATCTCGTCGCATACTACTTCCTGCTACGGTATCTTAGCTTTAGGTTCTTCTTCTTCTAGCGCGGCGATAGAATTAGGTAGTTAATCAGGATCTTCGTAGTATAGTTTAACTATAGTAGACCGGAAGGTCTTTAGACTACGTAGCATATCAATAGTATAGGTTTTGCCGTTTATAGCTGCTAAAGTAAACGGTCCGGTCTAGCCCTTCTTTTCGCGCCATACTTATACTTACGACCGTAGTAGTAAATTAATAATTAGCCTTGTATTAAGGCTATTACGGGTAGCGATAGCTTCTGCTACCTGTCGCCTTGCGTAAAGTTCGCATACTTCGCTTGTCGCCTTCTTAATCGCTTTCGCCTGCCTTATAACTTCGGGAGATAGTAGCAAATCGTTAGTAATTCGTAAGTATAAGCCGAATACTAAGAGTATTAGTACTATTCCGTTTAGGCTAGCAGTATCGTTAACTACTTTAACTACTATTTAAAGTACTGATTCTAGCGTAATTATTAGGTCTTCTACTTTGATAATTTCGTATGCCTTCTTTAGAGGTATATAGTATCGTTTAACTTTCCTAATACTATTATAAGCTTCTATAGGAATTTCCTTAATTTTAATTGCTATTCTTCTCGCCGCGTTTCGGAATTCTATTAAGCGGAAGTTTATTCTAGCGTCGGTAACTAGCTAGTCTAGGGGTCCCTAATACACATCTATCTAGCAGAGGCGTAAGGCTTCCTAAGTAGCTTTCGCAGAAATATCCTTAAGGAACCGGGCGGCGTTAAACGCCGTAGCGGTATCGACGACGTAGAAGACTAGTCTATTATCTTCAAGGTATATCACGTCGGCGATAACCTTATAGTTAAATTCGTAATCGTCTCGTAACGTAAATTTAAACCGTAATAGCGCTAGTACGTATATTTAGCATCGATAGCAGACTTTCGATAGTTACTTAATTACCGTAATTTCAACTAGGTAGCCAGCCTTCTAAAGCACTTTATATAATCGTTAAATAGATAGGTATCCGAAGCGATGGTAAACCCGTCGCAATTTAGCGTCTATAAGGTAGTTCTAGGCAAGTAGTTTCTCCTTATCAAGTAATAACCATAGGTAGCCCTATTTGCGAATAATAGGTACGACCTTGTTTCCTTAGATAAAGGTATTCGTAACGTTATTAAAGTAGACCTTTAATCGGTCTATATCTCCTAGGCATATAAGGAAGGGAGTATTAGTCTTAATAACGTAAAATTTAACGCTTCTAAACAGCGTTAGCACTTTAGTAGTCCCTATAGACTCTAGTAGTATCCTATTGCCGAATTTTACTATAACGCCGCTAGCCGCCTTAGTATTTAACGTAATTCCTTCGTAAATTTATTATAAGGCTACGAATTATAAGTAGCTAGCGGTTGAGAATCCTGCTACGCCCGAGTCGGGCATAATCCCTTAGAAGTTCTAGGCAGAGTAGCGTCCCTCGAGTGTAAATTGCGAAGGTAGCTCTTTCGGTTCTAGTTAGTTGCGGAAGAGGTCTTCTTTCGTAATAGCATAGCAGGTTGACTAGTCTGCTAGGATCGTAGCGATCCTATTGCCGTTAATTACTATTATAGTGAAATAGGCGGTGACTTAGAATTAACTATCGCTGCCGGTCTCTTCCTCTTCGTTACTTTTACTAGTTTGTTTAGTTACGTAATAGTATTGCTAAGGGTCTTCGGCGGTAGGTTATAAGTCTAACCCGTCGAAACCCTCGTATTAGATAAGAAATTAGCTATATGCTAGAAGTAATATATCCTAGGCATATTAGGTAGTTTTGTTGGAACGGTAGGTAGGAATCTCGTAGATAGTACGATATCCTTATAACAGGGTATTAGAGTAAGGGAACTTGTACTTATGAAGTAGGGCTTTAATAGTAAAGAATGTATAGGCTTATATTGAAGCTGAGTTGGTTGAGGAACTAATAGCTAGCTAAGGGAGAGAATTAGGCTAGTTATATAGTAGTATAACGTCGCCTATAATAGCTAATATAGGAAGCTATAAGCTAGGTTTAGTATACGTAAGTATATACGTCAACTAGCTTATAAAGCAGCTTATAAATCAGACTAGAATCTTCTTTAACTAAATAGACTTTTAGATAAGGTTAAAGAGAGTATTCCATAGGGATCTGAATGTCATATGTTTAAACTAGCAAGCAGCCATTCTTAGCTAGTTACTTTTGTAAGTCCTACTAAGTCTTAGATAAGACTAAATAGGATAAATAAGTAAAATAGAAGTATAATATACTTATACTTCTAACAAGTTTTAAACTTCTTGTATGCTTTTCGTCTCTCTTCTATAGTATGTTTAGTTAACTAGTAGTTAGGTTTTCTATATATATAGCACTTCTTAGGCGTTAGCGGTAATAGGGGTCTGTTACGGCTTCTTCCTCGTAATAATCGACTTCGTAATAAACGACTATATCGTAAATAACGCCCTCGACCGTTAAAAGTTCTATCGGTCTAGTACTGCTTTAGTAGGTTAGCTACTATATTAAATTGTTATTAGTTAAGACGGGTAGCTATCTCGATCGACGAGATTAATTAGCTGCAAAGTCCCTCGTACGTCTTAGCCGGTATAAATAACGCTATTATATACTCTAGAATATCTCTATAAGCGTATAGAAGTTAGGTATAGAGGGATCGGTCGTTATAATCCTATTATAGCAAACCGGGCTAAATCTTGCTTAATTTATTATATAGTATATCAAAATACTCCGATTTAGTCTTTCTAAGGTTATCGCGAATAATTTAGGGAAGAGTAGTTATATTCTACTACGTAACGTACGCTTGTTGCCTTTCCCTAGTCTCGAAATATGATTTTAATTAGTTAATCATAGTCTCGAAGTTAGGCTATAGGTTAATTACTTTAATCAAGGCATAGAAGTAGGTTTTAGCTATTCCTTTTAGTATTAGGGGAAGTACCTTGTTATATTAGGAGGTATAAATTCCTAGCATTCTATAGTAATCTACGAATACTAGCATCTTCTTTTCGAGTATATCGTATATATCGCCGCTATATTTCATATCGTCGGGGTATAGTTTCGCGAATTCTATTAATTGCTTTCCGATACGGTCTATTAACTCGTATAGTTAGAAGTCTATTAACGGAGAGACCGTAGGATATAGCGGTCGGTACGGTAGTTACTACTATTATTATTCTTATAAAGGAGGTAGCTATAGGGTTGGTTCGACTCTTCCTCCTATACTGTTAGCTACTATTGCCGGTCTCGTAATCTCTTCGTAGAATTCGGGGTCTTTTATTAAAGCCTTCAGGTTGCGATATCTCTTAACGCCTTGTTCGAGTTCTTAGGGTAACTAGTAGTAGAATTCTTCCTTTTTAAAGGCTAATACTACGTTTTTCGAGATTTTCTTGCTATCTATTTCGACGTAGACGCTATTACCGATTAAATAGTCTCTAAAGAATCGTAGGATTAAGGGAGGTATATTCTAGAAGTCTTCTTCTAACTAGTCAGCGAAATCGGGAGAAACTTCGTTCTATAGCTCGAGGCCTATAAGATTCCTCTTCTCATAGGTCTTAAGTAGGAAACCTATATAGGAACCTAGTTGCTATAGGCTAGCGTTTATAAGGTCGATTGCCTAGTTACCTTATACTGCTAGATCGATTATACTTTCGATTCTCTATAGGATAGGGACTGTTAATTAGCTTTTAGTAGTAACGCTACTCGCAGGCGATCCTTCTCGTAAATTTCGCTCTATTCTAATAGTATAAAAGGATTACTTCTATTTAGAATCTTAAATTCTAATCCTTAACAGCGTTAGCTACGATTAGTATAAGATATAAGCCTAGAAGTAGGAGTTAAAAGACGATTCGGGATATTACGATTCTAAGGGGAAAGAATCGTGAAATCGGGGATTTTCGTTAGTTCGTCGTTTATTTCCGTCAGCGCCGTTCTTGCTGATATTCTCGAGGGGTGTAAGGGTATATATAGGTCTCGAATTGGTAGGGAGAGAGTTCTACCGTAGATTCTCTCGTAAATCTCTCTTTCTTACTTCAGGCTTCGCTCCTTACTATTAAGAAGTTTAGAATCTAGCAGATAGTTAGCCTTATAACGCTTATAACTACGTGCGTTTCTCCTAAGCCGTAGCCTCGGAGGCGTATACGTATAGCTATATAAGCGGATTACCGCTAGTAGTCTTTGCTTGCCTTTCGGCATATTCTTCTTCTAGTAAGGAGGTCTCTTATAGCAGGCGCCTCGCGGTTAGCACCTTGTCTAGGGATTTATTAAGAAACTAGCAGGCGCCTCGTGATTAGCACCGCGCGTAGGGGATAGTTATAGTTAGGGAAGTTGTTATCCCTTGTAGGATTCGTGAATCTTCGCCCTTATAGCGTGAAGAGGTTGGAAGACCGTCGATTCGGTAGGTCTCTTCTTCTAGTAATTAAAAACGCGTAATGGAACGCTCTTGCTAGCGATAATTAGCTGCGATTAACCTTATCCCGCCTAGGGTGAGCGTAGCAGTCCCTAGGTTACTCGAATAATCGGATTGCTAGTAGATTCGAGGAAAAAAAGCTTTCTTCTACTAGTTTCCGTAGATCCTAGTTACTCTCGCTTCTTCTCTCGTTAGTACGAAATCCCTACTTTTACCTAGGCTTGGGTATCTAGTTTAAGAAGTCGTCTCTTCTGGTGTTGACCTTGCTGATCTGCGGTTTGTCCGTAGCAGAGTAGTAATTGTGAAGTTAACTAAATTAATAGCAACTGTGAGGTTTACTACTGATCAGTGTAGGTTTCACAGGGGGTGAAACGGAATTCCGTTCGTTAATAACAAATAATAGTAAATTGGTTCTAATCGATGGTTTATGATAGTTGAAAGTGGTGTTGTTGACTAGAAGGTGGGGATATTCCCCCTTGGCCTGTCACGTGGGTCTGGGAGGCTTGGGCCTCTCAGCCTGGCGGGCGTGTGGCTGGAAGTGCCACACGACTCCGTATTCCAACTATCGCAACAGAAATAGGGGTCTTACATTCCCCAGAGCCTGGTAGATGGTTAGGGTCTAGTTTGTTGCTATGAAGCTCAACATCAGATGATTGAGCTTCCTACATGGTCTTCAAAACGTGCCACGGGCCGCTCTGCATCCATCGTTGAGCCATGTCGGGCGTTAGAGGCTACTACTGGCGACGTTGCAATCAGACGATTAGTATTGCAAGCGGGACTTCAGCTTGGTTGGTGAGTCCACGCCTGACGCAGACGGAATGGTCAAGTGTCATACGCATGTACTGAATATTAAGAAACTGTAGTCAGTACAATCCATTTTCGTGACTGTCAATCTGCACTTTTCACCTTAAGCTTAGTTTTTCTGTTCAATATGGCCATGTTCTTCAGCTCGTGTAAGCAAGAATCGGGCGCCACAGCTAGAGCTGAAGTCCGCTTTCGTGTTGGGTTTGAAACTGAGTCAAATTAGCATCAACAGTCAGACGTAGAATGAGGGGGCCGCACTCACTTATCAAACAATTTGCCAAGGAATGAACGCGGAGGAAAATCCCCAGAATTGAGAATCTATGTATTTCTATGAATACTTTCCGTGGTTGCTCCATGGCAACTAATCAACATAACACGAGACCCCAGAACAAGGTGATGATCATATCGACGGTCAGTTATAAGATCAGTTGTTATCTCCACCACTATTCGTTCCACAAACACCCATTCTCCTCTGTTTGCCAGAAATTCGTTTCTTCAAGACTTTTCCGTTCTATGCAAATCCACTGTGCAGTCCACTGAATAATTCTATGCATCATGGACAGGGAAAGCATTGTTAAGCTGAGAGATCACTACATCTTCAAAAAAGCCAATGACTTTTTTGATCAAGATGTCGATGGTCATGGATCAGGCATCAGACAGCCAAAATCCATTTCGTACAATGAAAAGGATCAGAAGCTTTCGGATGGCAAGCAGAACCCAGCTTGCAGTCATGGGCGTGTTTTTCGCTTTAACGACGGGTCTCTACTCCTGATCCAGTTCCTGAGGCCAAGGGTCTGGCGCGTCCGTTTCAGTCCCGACAACAAGTCGGGAGAAGACTTTTCCGACTACAATACGTAAGTCGACCGTCCCTACAGCAAGTATCACGAGGATTTTATTACTAAAACATAAAATTCAGTCGCACACTCATTCGCAACACAACATCCGAGCTTATCCGGACCTTGGATGAGGCAGAGCACCTAGACTGGAGAGTGGACCTTGTTGAAGATGACCAGTATTACATCTTACAGTCCGTTGTTAGGACTGAAGGTAAGGAACACAAGGAAATTCAGCTTTGGATCCAGCGAAATCCCTTTCAGATTACTGCTGTGCGTGTTTTGAAAAGTCTTGCTCCTGCACAAGAGCCACCGAAGGCCTCCAACCTGGAGGCTGGCGCCGTAGAAAGCCTACAGTTCTCCAACGAAGTAGAGGGGGGACGCCGGGCTGTAGTCTGGAAAACGAAAACTCGCGGCCTACTTTATGGTGAACACTCTACCGTCTTGTGCCTGGAAAAGTCCATCACTGCCGATTACATGGGCTTCGGAGAGCAAGGAGGTAACAATCTGTTCAAAGACAAACAGTACATGAACTACTTCAGTATGTAAATTCTTTTTCATGCTATGATACATGGCTAACAAAATACAGACTTTGACAATATGAGGTATTATAACGTCTACGGTATTGGGCCAAGTGATGGCAGCGAACCCCTTTACCACTCAGAGCCTTACTGGATTGAGGTCGACGCTCAGCCGGGATATCAAACACAGATCGCGACATTTATTGACAACTACTCTCAAGTATGTGTTGACATTGGTGTCAAAGACTCTTCCGTATTGAGAGTTGCTACTCGTTTCAACGATTTTCAAGGCATTTTTGTTGCTGGAGACAACGTTTCAGATGTCATTCAACGGTACACATCGATTGTTGGTAAGCCCAAACTTAAGCCACGCTACGTTCTTGGCTACCATCAAGGTTGCTATGGATACGACACCCGAGAAATGGTTATGGAAGCGGTTCATCAGTACCGAAAAGCCGGAATCCCTCTTGACGGTATGCATATCGATGTGGATATGCAGGACGACTACCGGACGTTCACTATCGACACACGTGACAAACATTTCCCCGATCCTCAATCCATGTTCAGTGAGCTTCGACAGCTTGGAGTCAAATGCAGCACTAACATCACTCCTTATATCAACAACATCTCGTCGGATACTTACACAACTCTCAAGGAAGGCTTGCAGAATAACTATTTTCTCAAAGACAACCGAGACCTGGATCCTTCTGCCCCGGGCCCTAGCGAGCAACGATATTTGCAGTATGGCCAAGGCAATGTTTACTTCACTGTGCCAAATGACGAGTTCAGAAGACCTGACTATGCTATCCGCGATACCTACCCATTTGCCCAGATATTCAACAGTGGTCAAAATTTTCACGGTGGCATCTCCTATGGATCCAAACTAGGTCACCCAGGACATTATCCTAACCTCAACAACAAGGAAGTCCGCAAATGGTGGGGCAGACAGTACCGATACTTGTTTGAGTGCGGGCTAGACTTCGTATGGCAAGATATGACTTCTCCATGCATCGCGAGCGAGTATGGTGATATGAAATCGTACGTAATCTTGTTTTCCTTCGTCAAGTTCTGAGGAAAGTTGAACTGACTAACATCCTTCTCAAACCTTAGGTTACCATTCCGCTTGCTTTTAGAATCTGATGGCTGGTGCGGAGACCCGAAATCTTCCCCGAAGAAGAGGGCAATAGAGATTTGGTCGTTGTACAGCTACAATCTACACAAAGCGACTTATCATGGCCTCAATCACTTGCATCTTCTTGGCAAGGGTGAGAGAAACGACAAGCTTGCCTGGCGAGAGAACCGACGCAACTTTATCATTGGTCGCGGCAGTTTTGCTGGAAGTCACCGCTTTGCTGGCCTATGGACTGGCGATAACTCTTCTACCTGGGAGTTCCTCAAAATCTCAGTCGCTCAGGTTCTTGCCCTCGGCCTTTCTGGAGTCACAATCTCCGGCGCCGATGTTGGCGGCTTTGAATCAATGGAGACTGAGCTAAACTACGCGAACCCGGAGCTGGTCATTAGATGGTACTCTGCGTACTCGCTACTTCCATGGTTCAGGTAAGCACTAACCGACCGAAATGTTATGGCAGTATTGTGTTTCAATATCCACCATTGCTTACTATCTTACTTAAGGAACCACTATACTCGCCAGCGAAACTGGGTCGAGCAGCCTGATGTTCAGAGAAAGCCAGGCAAATGGTTCCAGGAGCCATATGCATATCAGTTGCACTACGAGCAACACCAAAGCCAATTCACCGGCCGAGAAGCGGAGATTTACAGAGCTGTCCTTCCAACTTGTCGATACTTGATTCGACTGCGCTACTCTTTAATGCAACTGCTCTACGATGCTATGTTTGAGAATATCATCACCGGGTTGCCCATTGCGAGAGCCATGGTGAGTCTTAGCCTACGCCGCATCCAGTTGATGCTAATCAGAAACGCGCCAACCAGCCTATCACTGATGAACTTGATCGTTCTTTATTTTCCAAAGATGTAAGTTAATAGTATCTCAGCTTCGTTTATTATTCCAATTCCTAACGCACAATTAAAGAATCGAGACTTCACCGGTTCTCAGTACATGGTGAGGAACGACCTATTGGTTGCGCCTTCGTTGGAATCAGAAGGGTCATCTGGTAATAAACGGGAGCTCTACCTACCATACCCCGACTCTTGGTTTCCAATGAACCTACGGCCAGATGATCCTTTAGGCGTTCCCCTTTCTCCTCATGCCACGGGCGGCCAGCACATCAGCTACGACTGCCGCATCAGCGAGGATGAAAAGCAAATTCCATTTTCGACTCCGATGTACATTCGCGAAGGTCAGTGAATTCAAAATGCAATCTCCAAAACTCTCTTCATTAACACCTAACAAACTGGTCAGGCGCTATCATTCCTAAGATTGAGGTTCGAGACTTTATCCCAGATCCCAGTACAGCCCAGCAGGATCCCAATCCAATCACCGTTCATCTTTACCCTGGGAAGGAGAATGTGAGTTTTCCATCGTCCAATTGAATCATTCTTTTCACAATCTTAATATTTCAATCACAGACATACGATATGTATCTGGATGATGGCATCTCCAGAGACTGTGCCCCCAAGGGAGCGTGGGAGGAGGATGGACACGGCCATGATGTCAAAGGCCTCTCAGACCCAAAAGCAAACGACAATTATACCAAGGTGTCTTTCAAGCAAGTAAGTGAACCCGCTGAACCAAATTGTCTGTAAATGTGTGTAGAGCAGGAAGCTGATGCGACTGTTAGACGATCTTCAAACAACTTGACATCGCAAGCGATACTGCAAAATACACAAGGCAACTTTGGGCACAGTCTCCTTTCAACAAGTTCAAAGGCGATTTGTCTCAGATTATTGGGCAAGAGTATAAATTTGTCTTCTGGCATCTTGTCCACAGTAATCTTGGCACTGTCCAAGTCTCAGTTGACCGGAGTAACCATCACAGAATCGACGTCAACCACGATGCTCGGGCGACTATTGTCACTATACCCATTGCGGATGTTCATACTCCGGATGGCGTTCGAATTACTGTCAGCGTTGATGCGGACATCTGAGTCAATTTGAAGCCAAAGGAGCCAAGAAATGTAACTGGGGTAAAATTAACTTCATTCCAATTTGACATAAGGCCTGGTGGATTGTATCACTCTTCACTCTTTCCTTGGCTTGAAAAATGTGTGCTGGATGGTATTACCACTTTTAAAACCTGATTTTCTACCTGATGTTCTTCCCCTTCGGACTGCCCCACGTTCGCTTTTTATCGACTTTTCTATAGCTTAATACCAACAAGTCTTTTCAACTAAAACCGCCGAGTACAACGATCTTTTTTGCTCTCTATTGAAACTTTGAACGTGTCTTTTCTGAGATGTATATCTGCATCAACCGAAGGAGGCCTTCTCATTAAGATAGTTTTGTAAAATCTAAGATGACCGCAGAGACTTTGGATACGTATTTCTGGCATTGTAAGAAGAAGGTTTAGATTGTTTGGATAGCTTCAAGAATTGCTCCGCATTGCGACCGTTGATTTCAAGACTTCGTCAAGTGCCCCCTTGTTGAATTCAATTAATCTCCTTTGACAATGCTGATCTCCTTGGCTTCATGTCACTTCCAACAAGTCGCGAATTCAGGGCCATCTTTGTCCGAGGCTCTTGGCAAAGATATTACGTACTTTACCGGAGGAAAAAAAAGTTATAAAATGTGACCAACCAGTTTTGGTTGATGTATCTACAAGATTATTGCTCTGAGTAAGTTACGCTCTACAGCCACTGCCCAATTCTCACACAAAGCTCAACATCTGATCCGTGCCCCATTCCATGTTGATCTTCAATTACACTGAAAGAGCAGGCCTCATCTCAGCTAGTTCTTCGTCTAGCTCTTCATTAGAAACGGTCTGCTCAAGTGCTTGATGCTTGCTTTCCCAGAGCCAAGCCAATTCCTTTGCAGATGTCACCAGAAACAGACTCGCAACAACACTTGCGATTCCGATCATTGCCAGTAAATTGACACTGGCGCGCCAGATTACCCAGTCCAAAAGCAATGCCCACAGAACCTGGGAGTAAATCATAATTGTGGCTGCTGAAGAGGAATCATTGGCGATTCCTGCGGTCAGTAAGTATTCCTAGTTCACGTTTCAGTATGTTGCAATTTACTCGGGGAAGCGGTCAAAGCACTCACCATCGTGAAACCGAATATACCAAGTGGCATCAACTTCAGCCAGGCTATGGGACTCCTAGTCAGATGAATGCTTTTCATAAGGAAAAATGAAATTGTTGTGATAGAAACAACTGTCCAAGAGAAGTAATTGACGCTCAGCAGAGGATGCGCGCGTTGGCCAATGCATCGGATTGCAGTTAATGCAGCCTTGTGGCAGAGTTAGCAGAGTCCATCAGTCAATATAGTTTACTTACTGCTCCTACACAGACGCTTAACAAACCGAAGCCAAAGCCCATCATACGCCCTTTTGTGCCACCATCTGTGACAGTTTGTGTGGCGCTGATCATGGCTGCTTCATGGTCAAATAGGCCGTCTGGTTGCACGACTAGTATAACGCCCAGTAGCGCAACGAGAGCCCCGACACGATCGACCACCTCGAAGGTCCCAAAATCCAGGTATCTCGTCAAGATCATGGCTGCAAGTGGCCCAAGAAAGTTTAACGCAGTAGCTTCACTAAGCTTGAGATACATAATGGAGACTAGCGAGAGATGAACATGACGCCGTTAGGAGGATTTTGAACATGTGGCCCTTACAGTAAAATCCAAAAGCCCCAAACACTCCAGCCATTGCTCTCAAGGCCAAGAGCGGTCTCAGTTCTGGCATCCCCCATGGGAAGTTGGGATCTTGGGTACGCCATAGGAGTAGCGTCGATCCAATACCGGTGATGAGGAATCGAACGAAGAGGACTTGAAAAGGATGAACTGGCGCGTCGCCAGTCTCAAGGAATTTTGCCAGACCATTAAGTGCTGCAGCTGATATCTGAGAGGTCAGGACTAATAATGACGGCTTGTGGCGCTCCAAAAACGACCGACTCGAGCTTTTTTCCATCATGAACAGCAGATCATGGGATGATTGTGCTCAGCGAAAACAATCGCCTTCACCACAACATTCGGAACTTGCACAGCGTCGCCCGCTTAAACGTATAATGCAATACTGCTTTTCCTTCTCAGTGAAAAGGGGGCTATACCTTGGGGAAGCATGAGGGGAAGGAACATAAGCTTCCGGAAACAAAAAGCTATTATGAAACGGATCATGTTCGGTAATTATTTTGGCGAGAGTTACGTGCTCCGTGCTTCTAGTGTTAGGACCCCGGGCCTGGAGCTCGGACCGAACTAGCCAATCTCCTATTCCACGGTCTGAGTCGCAATCGGAGTAATTGAGTTCAGGGCCGAAGTCAATCAACATGCACTATACGAATTGGAACATCGAGTCGCAATGAGGACGGTCTGAAGTTGAGAAATACCGGCGGTTTGGTATGACAGCTAGGAGGACTGCATTCCCGTGCCCATCTGGTTTTCCTTTGAGCTTTGCAATTACTACCTATGATAAGAAATCCAACGATGTCCAACCAATTCACGGTTAATGTTGACAGCCAGACGACCTTGAGTCCACAGAAGCCATTATGGGTGGAACTAGTACAGTTCGGGCTACCAGACCCAAGGACCCCTAACATGTATATGCCATGCATGTTGGCTATCATTGTGTTAGTGTCAGCAGTAGCATTCTCATTCCGCAAGAACAAACTCTCAGCTTTCCCAGTAATAAACGGGACAAAAAATGAGTATCTAATGAATGGGAGGGCGATGCTGGCTCGCGGGATCAAAGATTATGACGGCAAGCCATTCCGAGTAAACACAGGTCTTGGTGAAGGTGTGATTATCCTCAATCCCAGTGTGTTGCCAGAGGTTCGAAACGACCACCGATTCGATTCTACAAAGTTCTTGCTCCAGGTAAGAATATCAAATTAAATCGAATATCAGCATACGGTTCTAATAAAATTCCGACATTTAGTACTGGCAAGCTGGAATTCCTGGTTTCGAACCATACATTGCGTTAGGAACTGAAATCCTTCATAATGTTATCAAATGGAACTTGACTCCTGCGGGAATATGTGAGTATGAGCATGGAGGATATGTCAATGTCTTGTTTTTGATACTAGCTGACTGTCCTTAGCAAAGCTCAATAAACCACTATCGGATGAAGCAGATGCTGCTCTTAGAGATATCTTGACAGATAGCGAGGGTTCGTTGACATTCCCTGAGTGGCAAAGTTTAAATTCTAAAACAATCAAGCAGAATGGCATGAAGTTCTCCTGGGCGATGTTCTCATCCGAATCGTTGCGCGCGTGTCCTCCGTCATCTTCCTTGGACCGGAATTGTGTCGAAACCCCGACTGGCTCAAGATCACAGTCAACTACACCAACAAGGCCACAAACGCAGCCAGAGTTCTTCGTCGATGGCCCGTTTTCATGTACAAGTTCATCCACTGGTTTCTCCCAGAGTGCCAGGAGGTGCGCGCCATGGTTAACGAAGCCCGTGAGACAATCGCGCCAATTTTGGAAAAACGGAGGGCGCAAAAGATAGCAGATCCAGGACTTGAGTACCATGATGCCCTGGACTGGTATGAATCAGCATCGAAAAAAATGAACGTCACCTATGATCCAGCAGCGCAACAACTGGGCCTCTCTGTGTCTGCCATCTTGACTAGCAACGACCTGATGTCACAGAGCCTCATGGACCTTTGTCAGAATACAGACATGTTTGAACCTCTTCGAGCGGAGATTCGATCGGTCCTAGGAGAAGGATGGAAACCTACTACTATCTACAATATGAAACTTTTGGATAGTGTGCTGAAGGAAACTTTGCGCCTGAAGCCTGTGGCGGCTGGTATGTTGCACACCGATTCATTGTTATTGTCTCTTCAGGAACTTTGTGAAAACCAAATGTTTTTGGCACTAAACATCTCACATTGTCTCCACTCGAGCAAAATAACTTTTACTGACTTACTTTAGTTGGTCTCGGCCGTCGAGTCATGTCCGAAGTGCGTCTCAAAGACGGAACCCTCCTCCCCAAAGACTCTGGCATTGCCGTATCAGCCGAGAGGATGTGGGACCCGGAGGTTTACAAAAATCCCCGATCTTTCGACGGCTATCGGTTTTTGCGGGCACGGGAAGCTTCTGAACAGGGTGAAAAGACAGCTCAGCTGGTAAGCACCTCTCCAGAACACCTGGGATTCGGCTTGGGCATTCATGCATGTCCTGGACGCTTTTTTGGGGCAAATACGGTCAAACTGGTCATGTGCCATCTGCTTCTAAAATATGATATCAAGTTAGCAGAGAAAAGTAACACTAAGCCGATGGAGTTTGGATTTTCGATGTTGGCCAACCCCACTGTAAAAGTTCTTGTAAGGCGGAGAAAGGAAGAGATTCGGTTTTAAAGTAATGCTTCACAAAGTCCAATAGTTACGAAAGTAGAGCCTGCACTGCACAGAGATGAAGTGTAGCACAAACAAGTATTGGCGAGCCCAACTGTGCTTTCCTTAGGACTTCATAAAATGCATATCATAACATGCCACATAGCTGTGAAGTCTAGTCCGCCTTTTCTCATTTTGAATAGGTTTGAAGAAGACATGGTCGGTTATACGTACATTGCGGCGTACAAAACTGACGTTTAGGTGCATTGGGAGGTGCCAGTTAGAATTCTTCGCTGGTACATCTCGCTTATGTATAGAAAGAAGCCTGCTTTGCAAAGAAATCAACGATGCTTCCTGCCAATAAATAATCTCGTAAGATCTTGTCTAATTTTCAATTTTATCTTAAGCTGCATGCTATCTAGGTATGCTAGCGCGTGCTTGAATTTCTATGTTGATCTGATCACCTGGACTAACTCCAGGTATTGATCCAACAATGATGCCTCGTCGTTTTCTAAACTTAATCTGCCAAAAAGACCTCCGCAAAATGCAAGATATGGCATGGCTGCCTTAAGGTTTCTCATTTCACCATTGACGAGATAGTAGACAATAAAGCAAAGTGACACTACGAGCAAATGGCCCATGTCCCCCCACCGTGCGCTCGATGACCCAATGTCCCTGTATCTGTAAGTTTTAAGACTCGCGTATGACACAAGACCAATGGAGTAAAACTTACCTTTCCAATCCCTTTTCCCAGAAAAGACCGCTATTTGCAAGCTTCACAACGGCAAAAGCCGATTCAGCAGATCGGTCCATGCATCGGTCTCGCATCTGAGCAGCAACACCTGATACATCCCCATCATCCGCCGCAAATGGTGCAAACCAGGGGCAATGAATGAAGAACACTGCCTTATGGTACATACAGAAGACTCTGAGAGCATTTCTAAGCTGTTTATCATCTTGGATTCCTTGGAGTGTTTTGGCGTTATGCGCTTCATTCAGTGGCGCTGGAAGCCCGTTGACCCACTCATTAAGTACGTGGCAACTGGCTTGAAGACGATCGCGTCGATCAAATGCTGAGGTAGATCTGTTCAATGCGCGAGGACTGTACTGAAATTTGAGGATAGAATGCAATAGTTCTGAAAAAGTGTATGAAACGGCGATCATGTCATCTCCGCAGTCGAAAGACGGAAACCTGCTTCCCCATCCTAAATCAAGGATCTGTAAAAGGTGTCAGCCCCCGCCAAACCTGTGGTGTGGCGTGAAATTTACTTACAGGAAGCATACCGTGATGGATAGCATATTCAGTTTCAAGGCTATATAGGAACCAAACGCTCTTCTGTGCTAGGTCTTGTTCTTGTTCGCTCATGTTTGACTGCTGGCCTCTTGCTGCATGGACAAGACGCAGGTCTCGTGCACAACATACTGCTCCTGTGATTTTCTCCCATACAAGAGACTCATCATATATGCATGATATGACGGCCTAAAAAGTGTCAGAAATGATGTGTTGCAAGTCTATTTTCGTGACATAGGACAGACCATAAGAAGAATTGCCTGCAGAAGCATTTTGTTAGAGTTGTCTATCAAACGAAAAGCCATACTCGGCCATTTTTAAATGTAACATACTTGAAGTTTCAAGAGACTGCTTGGGCAGATTTGAATAGTTTTATAGAGCACTAACGCTGATGCAAGTCGATTAGGAGCGTCACGGACTTCCTCGGTAGTAAGATCATCTCGACTTCGCTGACACATAGCGTAATACCCAATTGACACGATAGATTCAGTAAATGCTATGGCCAGTGGATCAGGGTTAGGCTCGCGTGACTTTTGAATAGTTTGATCAACAACCTCTCTAGTCAAGAAGTTGCTGACGCTGTGCTCCAAGTCAGAATCTGTTAGCCAAAGAGTTGTAGCCAAACGATTGTGATGTCTACTAACGGGCAGCAATCTTTGAAGCAAGCTAAAAGAATATACTGTCAGTGGTTGAATGCGATGGACTTCGGACGTCTTACCATCGCAGTAAAGTGATACAGTGACATCATTTTCAAGGAACCGCCTTGATACGTCAAGCGCATTCTTGCTAGGGGGCATTGCTCGATATCCACAGAGTGCTGTCTTAAGACCGTTGACAATTTTGACCATCTTAGCGCCGCGAGACTCTTTGTTATCGCGAGCAATATAATTAGGAAGACCGTAAAGGTTAGACGCCGCAAAGTCAACATGGATAATCTCATCGATTGCGTTTGTTGAGTTTGTTGTTTTTTCCGTCACGTCAACGGCAGGCTTTGAACTGTTGTCATCGTTGTTGAAGCTAAAAAGCTGTATGGCTGTCAGTCAAAAGAAAAGAAAAGACAGAGCTCTCAGTTGTTTGAACGGCTTTGACTGACCGTGTCGTAATTTGGGGGACTTGTTGTCTCGGATCTGGAGTGTTTGTGACAATCCTTTGGGCGTGTTCCGGGCCCATCCGGCGAAGCAGGAAGTGCATTATCAGGCATTGGAGAGGCGAAGCTGAAATCCAACCCCACAGTAGAATTTGAGTCCGATGGCGTTGTGTTGAGCAACTCCATCAATGCGTCCTCTCCTGGCATTGGCAAGTCCAAAATAGTATTGTAACTGTCAAATTGTGGGATTTCCGGAATTGAAAGCTGAAGGACACAACCCAGATCATCTGCATCGATTCTTTCGTCGTCTCTTCCAGCATGTTCAGTGCAGGTTGGAGAGAACATCGCATTGTTACGAGCAATTTGTGGCCAGACATCATATAGCGGGAGATTCTCGTTTGTGTTTATGTCGAGTCTTCGTGCGCTGGAAGATGCTCGGTTGTTGCCTGTGCCCGTCCTTCGAGGTCGTGGAGCCAGAGGGGGATAGTAACACGCTTGGCCATTACGCTGGGTATTGTACGTTAGAATCCTGTCGATCAAGTTTGTTTTGGAAGTCGCATACATCACAGTTGAGACATGGATCTGCTCCATCGCCTGCCAGTTGTTAGAGCTCTCATATTCACAGTCTTTTGGGAGGCGTTCATACAGCGGACTTTCCTGGCCCTGCATGCTTGGCAAGCGCCTCTGCGACGCGTAATTCTTCGCATGGCGACTGGCTCGAGGGATTTCAGAATCGAAGGCCTGGAAAGTCTTCTAGAATACCCGCGGGAAGGCTAATAGAAGGTTGGGCAACGTGCCGGCATATGAAGTAGACAAGCCAGCGAGTAGGTCGCGTGGAAGGCCAGATAAGCTTGGTCTAAATACTACGATGGTTAAGTTCACCAACAGGAAAAGAGCAAAAGTATCTTAAAGTTCACACCTGCTGATATTCAGATGGTGTAGCATTCGAAAAATGTCGACCCAGGGGAGGTGTAACTCATCATAAAGCAGTCGCTGAAGTGATGCTTATGTGTGACAGGAACCTTGTAGCATACTGATGCGCCCAAGCTTTTTGAGCTTTGAAAGTCTAAAAGCAGACCATAAGAAGCTTGAAGGCCTCGCCCGGAGTCAGCTCTTAGAAGAACGAAGGGGTCGCATGCTATCAGTAATCATTGGCCGAAATTTCCATGGCAGTTGCTGAGGCAGATTCCCCTTAGTTCGTTTCCCTGGAACATCAATTTGACTTTGTTTTCCCCTCACTGCGTAACATTGAGGCTGTTTCGCGCCATTCTGTTTGTGTGTTCACATGGTGATAGGCTTCAATGATGACTCGCCATACTTAGACTGCCATGACAAGGATCCATTGTCCTCGCCATCAGGTCTCTATGTCCTCAAAGCTCCCAAGCCGCTGTGGGGCATCTAAATCCGGTACCGAAAACACAGATCATGAATCAACCATAACAAGCACAGCCGTTGTGTAATGCATTGAATTTTATCGAGTTTTGGAGTGCTGATATCTCCAATCAAGTTTTGGGCCAATTCATTTCAGCCGTAGATCGCGATTTATGATCATCAATCCAACTAGCTCCATGGGGGCTGTCGTTGAGTCAAGAGCAGCGAAACATTGACAGCTAGAAACTTCCACTACTACAGCCATCCCTAAACTCTAGCTTCAGTGTTGCGTAATATGGTAGCAGTAAGGTTAGGATTAGAAGCCGTAGGCATCTTTGACCAGCGCCTGTACCAAACTCCTCACAACTTCATCAACCCGGACATCAAAAACCTTGAACCTGGCGGTGGCTTGAGTCAGACTCATGCTACGCTGTAGTTTCCGAGCTGCTACTAGGCGCCGAGATGTCTAATGGGTTCATTCCGTCGGCCAGACTAAAGGGAATACCCTGTGACTCTATAGTGGCATTCAACCTCGCCTACGGCAGTACATCCGAACGATGCAGTGTACCATAATCAGCAGTTGCTTCCACAAAGCCGGGTATGCAGCTTGAAGATAAGAGGACGCAGAAACCGCTTGTTTAATCGCTCGATCTCGCACAGTTGTGATTTGCCCCACTCTCCAAACACGAGGATCTCATATTGTCCATCACGGAGGAGTATACGCTCACATGCTCCAACCCCCCTGTCAACAATGAGTGCACCCTCTATCGCTTCCCAGAAGGATGTCAGCTGCCAACCGAATGTAGCTATCGCGAAGGAGGCGAGGCACTATGTCGACCACCGACCTCCCTACCCAGAATCAATGTGGAATCTCTGGACAAGCTACCATGATGGGCCTCTTCAAACTGTCCACGACATAGGCTCTGGTAGTGGTAATGGCGCAGATGGACTACTTATGCACGTAAAGACGCCTATGAAGCATGTCGTGTTGACGGAGCCGCGGGAAATAAACATACAGGACTGCCGCGCGCGGTTCAGAGACCGTTTTCCCGGTACCGAGTTCACCTATCGCATTTGTGGCGGTGAAGATCCTTGGGAAACTCCCGCCGGCTTGGGAGCTGTCGACTTCGTAATGGCATGCGAATCTTTGCACTGGACCATTATCGAGCCTACACTTCAAAATGTAGCAAAGAGTCTCCGCAAAGGCGGTACATTTGCGGCTGTCGTCTACGGGCCCTTTCCCGGTATTGCCAACAACCAAAAAGCGAACGAAGCATTCAAAGAATTTATCGGCGAACATGCTGCTCACCTATTGAAGCAAGACTGGCTGAACGAAAACTGGAAGAGGGCAGCAAGGCAAATGTTTCACGGCATGGACTGTGTGCCACTCAGGGACGATGTTTGGCAGGATGTCAAACGTATCGAGATAAACTGTCGGGATGGTTGGTATGCCAGAGACTATGAACCTATCAAAGGCACTGCGGATTCTGTTACTCATCTGGGGCCTTTTGAAAAGATTTCTGTGGATGACAATGCGGACTGGCAAATTTCGGCTTCGACTGAGTGGTTGAGGGAATCACTGAATTCAATGCGCTTTGGATTTACTGAAAAGTCATGGGAATCTTCAAAGTGGCTGGAAATGGAGCAATCTGTGGGCAACATGCCACTTGAGCTACAATGGCAAGTTCAAATGATTCTTGCGAGGAAGAAGAACTGAAGGCTTGGTTTAAAAAGACCCTTTAGATTATATTATAAATTTTTGAGGCTCTTTATTGGTGTACGTGGCTTTTTACGGTCAGTATAATAATGTAAGTGATGTAGATTGAAAATGCGGTCCAAACGGCATGCAGCTGATTTATAATTGAGAACACAATGCTTCGAGAGGGCTTTGAAAATCAACTTTTTCTACATTGTAGTCATTGAAACTTTTCTGTATAGGGTTGTGGGAAGATATTAAAAAGGGTTAGTGAAAGGCACATATGCGAGTGGATTCTTTGTTTTTAGAGTTCTTGTTTGCTTTGTAAAAAAGAGTACTTCTCCCATCGAATAGATCAATGGAAACGGATTATCAAGTGTTTTATAAAGTCCATTAGCATCTTACGATGTAAGCCTGACTCCGTCACAAACTACAGTTGTTAAGCAGACATAGTCAAACAAAATCTTGATCTCAAAATCAGCAAGTTGCCCATGTTAAAGATAGAGGCTTGTCACAGCTCTTGGCATTTCTTTTTAGTAGTGATTGCTCTCGCTCAGGCTGGAGTCATTGGCAGCGTATCAATAAAAATAACGTGATTCAAGACATGTATATAACTCTACAGAGTGGGGTCAAAAGTCTGAAGCCACCCTCTATTTCCCAGCTACCTGCATTTTGACCATACTACTTCAAACAGCTGTAAAACAGCTAACTTTTCGATTTCTATAGTAATACTATAGTGAAATTGAACGCTGAAGTTTGCTTTTTAATACCGTATATACTATCCCCGTGCTTTAATTACTACCTCTAAGCGGCGCGGCAGAGACTTAATAAGCCTCTATATTCTTGTCTAGGGTATAGCTTCCTACGCCGTAGTAAGCTGTATTTTAAAGAGATCGATATCTAGCGCGTTCTTTTTTAAATTTAATACGTCTAGGTATAGGCGACGTAGGTTATTCTTTATTATCTGCTAAACATGCTTAATAAGGTTAAGATTAGGCGAATATAGTAGCTACTTAAGCTAGGAGATCCCCTAGCTTAATAGCTACTTTATTATTTTTGCTAAGCTATAAATAGGCGCGTTATCTTAAATAAAATGCCTTATATTGTCTATAGTAGGGAGATATCTTTCTTCTAAGTACTTAATATAGCTATTTAAGCTATAGCCTTACCTTTCGGTAGTCTTATCTCTCGTAAAGAAGATTAACTTGCTTCGGTCTTCCCTCTATATTATTACCTATACTATAATCGAGATATTTGCTTTTATATAGCTAATAAGGTTAATAAACTTAGAATCCTAGCGTTCGTAAGGTAATCTAAAAACCTAGGCGGAAAGGCTTAACGTATTATTCTAGTAAGAAGACTTATTAAAGAACTAGGCTTAAAAGAATTCTAATTAGCTTAAGAATTGCTCGAAAGGGTCTAATCGTAAGAAGGAGTATAGTAATTAATTCTTCTACGTTTATAAGCTACTTACTGTCACAGTTCTTCCTGCTAGCACGTAGCTATAACAGGCAGAGGTCGGAACCGTAATAAGAATAGAGATGTAAATAGAATAGTATAGAAGTCAAACAAACGGTTATAAGGTAATAAATAACGATAAATTAATAAACGTAGGTATAAGCAGTTAGTCTTCTATTAAGTTAGCCTACTAACGATAATAGCTGTCGAGGGCGTCTCTTATACAGGTACGGCTAGCACGTAAGATATTACGTACCCTTAATAACTATTTATAAAACTATAATAAGTACCCTTTTTAAAAAAAGACGATTGTCCTAATCGATGATAAAATAAAAACTAATTATATAAATTTATCCTTTCTATTTCCTATCTATCGCGAAGAATTACGACCTTAACGATAAAATCCTATCCTAATCGCGGTCTAGCATATTACTAAAGCGGCTTTGCTTAGCTAGGCTTGCGATGCTTTCGGTAGCGACGCGCTTGTCGCCTTTCTATAGCTTAGCAACGGCTTCGCGTAGTTCTACGATCTTACCGCGGAGGACTATAATTTCGTTATCCTTAGTAGCGATAACGCGGTTAACCTCCGTAGCGATTATATCCTTGCTAGTAGCTATTGCTTCGAGTACTTCGAGGCGATCGTTAACGCTTACGACGTCGACGGTAGACTAGGCTTTCTCGTCGAGTTTATTAAAGCGAGGGATAATCTCCTTGTTAACGCTATTAACGATTTTCTTTATATTCTTAGTAACCGTCTTATTTATTTTATAAACGTTACCTTCGAAAGTCTAAAACGCTTTTTCTATATTCTTAAGTTGTTTATAAGCGGTTATATCGGTAGCGGTTATATAGCTAATATTTATAAGCAGGGGAACTAAGAAGAGGTCGGCTTAGTAAATAGTAATAAGGTAGCTTATGATAATATTATTAACCTAACCGTTGCTAGTATAAAAGATAGTTGTAAGAACCTAGGCGTAGGACGGTAAGTATTCCGTATATAAGGCGTTATTATTATACGCAGTATAAGCGTATTTATAAGCGTCCTAAACATAACGAATAAATAGGTTAGAAGAAGGGGTAGCTAGGCTAGTAAAGTTGTTAAGATAAGCCTCGATCTCCTCGAGTAATATATCGTCTAGGTAGAAGGCGAACGCGTCCTAGGCATGCTTTTTAGCGTCTTAGACCTAGGTATTATCAACCTTAGTAGCGGTATGCTTCTTCTTCTTAAGGGTATTAGACTTCTTGCTAGCCTTAGCCTTCTTAGCCTTAGGGGTAGGAGTAGCCTCGACGGCTAAGGCGTTAGACTCTTCCTCCTTGCTAGATTTATTAACTAGCTTAGGGTTGCTTTTCTTAGCCTTCTTCTTAGCCTTGCCTTTGCTAGTCTTCTTAGGCTAGTCTTCCTCGACCGTCTTAGTAGGTTTAGCATAAGCTTCGTAAGCCTTATTAGCCTTGTTAGCGTCGAATATAGTAGTATCTTGCTAGTTACTAGTATGTTTAGTAGTAGCTATAGTAATTTCCTTAGTAGCGCTTTTGCTAACGACGTAAAGTTCCTTGTCGGCTAGGCTAAAGTTATCTCCGAGGTTTTCGTCGTCGGTCTAGGTCTTATTATTACTTACGTCGCTTCCGGGGGCTACGACGGAGCCGGTAGGGGTTTCGGCGATCTTGTCGGTATCTTAGTAAGTATGTTAGGAAGATATCTTCGCGTTCTTAATATCGAATCTTATAATTAAGACGTATAATAATAGTAAGTTAAAAGTCTTAATAAGAATAGAAAAGGTTTATAATATATTATAAAGTAAGAGATTTATTAATTTTCTATTATATAGGTAGAAGTAAGATTTATATAATAGGAAAAGTTTACTTTCGTAGTAATAATAGTAAAAGTAAAAAAGTAAAGTTTTTTACTACTTATAAGGCAAGTACTTACGAAGGGAAAGAATAAGTATTTTATACGAAATTCTATTATGTTAATAAAGGGAATAATCTTACTAATATCGCTTTATTAAGAATTAGCTATTTTATTATAAAATAGCGACGTTATTTTAGTTATTTCGTTATTAGTATTGCTTAGAGCGGTAGGTTAGTATAACCTCCGCGTCGACAGGATATCTTGCTTTATACTTATTAACAAGCTTTACTACGTTAGTCTTAAGCGATTCGCGAAGCTCCTAGGTATCGAACCTTATAGTAAATCCTTTCTAGCGAATAAGATATTCGATCCTTGGCTTGCGTTTTCTCTAGTTAATTCTGCAGCTTATAATATAGTCGATTTCTTATTCTTCGCTACTATTAACCTTGATAGGTTAGGGCGGCTATTATTTACGGTTAAATAGGTTGTCTCCCTAGGCTAGCTTATATAGCTATGCTACCGATAAGATTAGAAAAATTCGCTAATAGGCCGGGAGGTTGACTTCGTAAGCTGTTAGGCTTATAATTCGAACGATTCGAAAGGGGCTTATATATCGTAACGTCTACTTATTATAGCGTTAGCTAGGTAAGTAGAAGCCTTTCCCTAGTCTTATCTAAACCTTATTACTAACGGAGAATCTAACGTCTAAGTGCTTTTTATTATAGCGTTCCTTTCTTAAGTTTGCTATATCGATTAAAGCCGCTGCCTTGTCTTAGTATATCTTTCTTATAACGTCGATAGACTTAGTTAAAGCGTTTTTTTCCGCGATAACGTCGAGAGTACTTCGAGGCTTAAATCCGTATACGACCTTATTAGGAGATCTCTCGATCGTTACGGTATACGAGTTATTAAGGTTATATTATAATGCTAAGAAAATCTCTAGCTATAAGGTTTCTAAGTATTTTAAAAGCTAGAATCGGATCGTAATTTCTGCTATTTAGTTTATTCTCTTATTCTAGCTATTAGTCTATAAGTAGTAGGCTGTCGATAAGAGTAGTTTTACTCCGAAAGTATGGAATATCATAGTCTAAACGGCTAAGATAAACTTAAGGTCTTTATTACTAATAATACGACGTAAAAGTCCCTAGTTAGCTAGTTAGAAAGCCTTAATAAGGACTATTACCTACTCCTTAGCTTTATACGTAGTATAGCTTAGTAAAAGTATAACTTTCTTCGAGAATTTATCTATTATAAGCATAAGCATATTAAACTACTTAATCTAGGTAATACTTATAAACTCCCTTATACTTCTACTTTTAGTAAATCGGTAATAAAGTCGATTATTACGGTATCGAAGGGGATTCTTACGACTAGAATCGGCTATAGGTGCTTAGCAGTCTTTGCTAGTCGACTTAGTTTTCCTTATATCTCGGGTAGTAAGCGATATATCGCTTTACTACCGATTGCTTATTTCGTATCTAGAAGCTAGCTAGCTTTGCTAGTATACGGTCTATGCCGAAATAATGCTTTTAATTATAGGTAAGGCTAAGAACTTTTACGACGGCTTTATATAGGATATATAGCCTTTTTATCTTATTATATATATAGTAGAATAAGAAGTTATCTTTAATAGTTACTATAGGGAGATTCGACGACGAATCGGTATACGCCTTTCGTTCTAAGCGCGATTTTCCTTATCGTCTACCTCCTTAAG